CAACAATAGCTATATGTGATAATTTAGAAAGAGTTTGTGAAATATTCTTGAATTTCATTTCAAGCAGAAAGTATAATTAAGGTTGTGTTAAAATCAAGAGAATAACTCTATTTTCTAAAAAATAAAATAAAAATAAGACTTTGTATTCAAATGTGCTTATTTTCTATTCAGAGATTAATTGGAAAACACGTCTTTAATTTCAATTCTCCAACTTATATCTAGTTTTAAAAAGTTTTCTTTATTAATTTTTTTTTACCTGATTTCTATATAAAAAACTGGTTTCCTTTTTGTTTTTTTTTTTTTTTGAAGGTGAGTTTTCTTAATTATTACTATTGTTTATACGAATTTCCTATCACATATATAATTATCTCTACTAACACAACGGCTTCACTACGTTTGCCTTACTGTTTTCAAAAGAACTCCACAAGTCATTGGACAAGGTACATGTACAACACTTTTTCTCTACATACTTCTACGCGATTTCTTTCCTCATGTTCACGAAGAAATTAATTATAGCGACAAAATATTTGAATTTTAGCCTATGTATATACGTAATCCATGTCTAAATTTAGATTTTTCGCCAAATCACATGATATCAATATGGGGGAAATCATGGAGATTGTAAGGATGCAATGGAATGGAATGAAAGTAATGAGAATATGCTTTTTTGAACAGTTTGCAGTAGGAAAGAGTTGAGAAAGATCCGAATGGTACGTTGGCCTAGTTTTAAACCAGCTGATCGGAATGAAATAGATGACAAGCCGCTTTTAATTAATGACTAGATTAAGATTCGTATCTCGCAATTAATTTCATTCGTTTTAAACTTGACCACTTGACCCATAGACAGTTCGAAGACGCTTTTGCAAGGGCTTAGACTTGGCCCATTGAGATGATTTCTGGGCTTCAGGCCTGTTTCCTGGATTTAGCCATTGGCCCATGAGGTCACACTGAGTGTTGTTTTTGCTCTCTCTTTCACCCATGAACCATTCAGATATTTCTAGAATTATAAGTTTGTTTTTTAAGAAGTTCGTGGGCCAATTACATAATGAGGGACAATCCTCCCTCTTGCTTATGTAAAATTATAAGTTTTTTTTCCTTCAAAACTTAAATTATAGGACTTTTGGCTATCATCCTTCTTCAATATTTTTTAATATTTAATCATTAAATATTACATGTAAGTGGCGTGTTTTCTTAAAACAATAATATGGAAAGAAAAAAAAATCATCATAACATTATAAAAGAAATCAATCGTTGATTTATTGATTTTATTTCAATTCCAATGTAGGTGGAGATTTAAATGCTTGATGATTATTTGATCATTCTAACGTATTTACATGGAAACATGTACCACACAAAGTGTTATTTCATGAGTTAAAATATTTTGTGCTCGAAAGTAATACAAAATTATGCTTTCTATAACAATTTAAGTTTTTGTATTGAAAAGGTTTTTCAATATGTATTCGAGTTTAAATTATACCATCTCTCATTTCTCTTTAAATTAAAATTGAATAATTAAGTACAAATAATCACGAGTTTAAATTTTATTTTTTAATTAAAATTAAATAATTAATTACAAACGAATGTGAATTTGAAATTCACAATCTTCATTTTTTTCTAATTGAAATTAAACAATAGATAATATTAGATTTTTATAAATTTCAAACAAAAAAAAAATTTTAAAAATATATTAAAAAATAATATAAAATTAATTTTGAAAATGACAGTGTGTCTCGATAAGTGTCAATTTTGTTAATGAAATAATTGAAAATTACAAGCAAAGCAAACTACATCTAGAATGACCCACAGGTTATCCTTTTTTTTAAAAAAAAATCTTTTGGTGCATGAAAAGCCGAGTAAATTATAAATTATTCTTTTTGTTTAAAAAAAAAAACTAATTAGTCTTTTTTTTTAAATAACTAATTATTTTTTTTTATGTTTTAATTTTATCAATAATTTAGTCTTTTCATCTATTTTCTATTAGATTAGTATTTTTTATGCTTTATTTTTCTTTTTTTAACCTTATTTTCTCTCTCTCCAATCAAAATAAAAGAAATGAAAAATTGATGGGTGAAATAAGTTATTGACTGAATTAAATGTAAATATTAAATGATTAGATTTTTTTTATTTTTAAAAAGAGACTAATTAATTCGTTTTTCTACATGAGAAAGATTAATTTATAATTAACTCGTGAAAAGACCAATGACTAAAAAAAAAAAAAAAAGGAGAAGAAAACTTGTTACAGATCCAAATAAAATCTATTCCCACGAATTTCCCATACACAAACTTCCAAAATTGGTTGGAACAGAAGTGAGCACAATGGTGTTGGCTGGGTGGAGATCTTAATCCCAGGACACCCTCAGGCTTCAACCAAAGATTCCTCGTTCCGAATAAAAAATGAATATGTGTTTTTGCTTTCCTTTGTTTGTTTTGGTTTCATTTAGGCTGTATTTGTTTGGAAAACATATAAGTTTTAAAAATTTGTTTTTCTCATTTTTAAGTGTTTGTTTTGTGTTTAGGAAAAAAAATCAATCGAAAATAATAGAATATTTTTGGAAAAATGTTTTCCTAGTTAAAAAAAGAGAAAAACATTTTCCTTCTCACGAACTGTCTCGCTCTCACGTTACTCACCTCTCTCTCAATATATTTTAACAATTTTTTTCTCTATCTTCTTTTTATTTAAAATATATCAAATTAATTTTTAATTATTCCTTATCAATTATTATTAATTATTTTTTCTCTATTTCTATTAATATTAGATTTTTTTTGATTTATAGATATATTAAATACTCTCAAAAACCATTTTTATAATAAATATTTTAATAATTTATCTCTATTTTTTTACTATTATCTCAAACACTACCTAAACTATGCTTAAATGATTGAAAATGATTATTACAAGACTCGTAATTTTTTGTAAAAAAATTAAAATTAATTAATTCATTAGTAAATACATTATTTTTCCAACACTATTCATTTGCAACTAAATCAATAATTTATAATTTTAATCAATTGTAATTTTTTTTTTGTAATTGTAATGAATAATTAGTTACAAATTATTCAACATTAATATTTTAAAACCAAATAAATAATTATCTACAAATGATAACTAATAATTTATAAAACTATTTTTAGACTAAATCATCATTTCAATTTCTAAAAAAGAAAAAAAAGAATTCTTAATTGAGTTACCAAAATAACAATGCTAGGATTGCTTAAAATTATTATTATTATTTTTTTACTAAATGTGAATATTGACTTGATTTTGTCTCGAGTAATTTTAATGAATTGGTTTGATGGTTAAAAAAGTATATTTTATTTTTTGAATTACAATTTTAGAGTCAATATTTATGAAAATTTATTAAAATTTTATAAATGTATCTTATATTGTGAAATTATGAATATGCATTTTTAAAGTTTTCTTAAAACTTATTAATATAATAATCGAATCATTGTTTTTGTATTTTAATTTTCTATATCCAAACGCTAGAATAAATTTTGTAGTAGTTTTTTATGTAATTGTCAAACGGCAAAAAATATTTTTTTGAAAAATAACTTCTTCAGTAATTGATTTTTTTTATGAAAGTTGTTTTTCATCAAATAAACCGAATCTTAGCCAACAATTCTCTTTCTACAAAAAAGAAAAAAACCCATGGTGAGATCCAAAAAACAGGAAGGTATGTCAGGGTTAAAAGGAAGAGAAATAAATTCAATGAAACAGATGAACAAAAGAAATTTATTTGTGAGAAATGTAGAACCAAAAAGAGAGAGGGAAAAAAATAAAAACTAAAATAGAGAGCTTTGTAACTGATTTTTAAAAAAGAAAAAAGGAAAGAAAATCTGAGAAGAAAGTATGCGTGGTTTGTCATTCTTCGTAGAGAAAATAAGAATTCAGAAGAGAATACAAAAAAGAAAAAAAGAGTTTCTTTTTATTGTTTTCAGGAGGAAATTCCTACGAAAGTAATTCAAGCCCATCATAATCCTTGCTTCTATTATTATTCAATAGAGTACATAAACTAAGGTTCGCTTTTATCAAATTTTTTATCTTCAATTGAAAATAATTCAGATGGCTATCTATCCTTTCTTCTCTTTGTTTTCCCTTTATTTCCTTCTTTGTTCTTTCCCATGTCAATCCCTTTTTTTTTTTTTTTTTTTTGGCCTTTTGCTGCACTGGACAAAAAACACACACCCATCTGAAAAAAGAAAACCTCTTTGACCCCGTTGACGATCCAGTGTTTCCAAAATCAGTGTTTCTAAGCTTTGGCTGATGCTGAAAGTAAAAATGCAGGCAATACCTCTGAGCCTGGCTGAGAAGCTACTGCATTGTCGGCTTAATCTCTCTCTCTCTCTCTCTCTCTTCTTTTAAATCCCACAGTAGTAATATTAAATGTTGCTACTTCCCTGCCTTACATCTACACGTTCAGAAGCCAGAAACCTGCCAGAAGTTAAACCCATTTATCATGCTCGCTAATTATTACTTATATAGTTATATACTCTACTTTTTTTTAAAAAAAGGAAGGTATTTCTGAGACTGCAAGGTGCAAAGTGATAACCCTATTGTATTGTAGAGAATACGACTACTGTTTCTCTCTCAAAATCTCACGTGCTGTTTCCAGAGCAAAGTAGAAAGAGACAGAAACAGCACCTGCAGCCGTGCAGGTAATTTCATCTCTTTCTGACATGTTGAGGCTTTGTTTATTGTATTTTGGGTTTCTTTTTTACTCTCAGCTGTCTTGTCTGACTGTCTTTTTCTCAAGGGTCGTCCACTGGTCTTAAACAAACTTTGCAGGTTTTCTTGTCAGAACTCACCCTCTCTCATGGTGATAGTATCTGTCAAAAGATATATAGGGAATAGTATAATACTAAAGAAATGAAGGCGATGTGAACTCTTTTGCAAACTTTCCCTTTCACATACCCAACACGCCAAGACCAAAAAAGCTATTAAAACCAACCAAACCGAAAGCAACCAAACTAAACAAATCTCTCTCTCTCTCTCTCTCTCCATGGACTTCCATCTGAAGCAATGGAGAAACCAGCACGAGGAGTCAGAGCAACAACCTTATGCAAAGATGCCGAAACTCCTCATGGATCCCCATCAACCACAGCAACATCCATACCCATCTGAGTTTGCTGCCCTCCCTTTGTTTGTACCTGAGCCCAGCAGCAAAATCAGTAACCTGCCAGCATTTCCTGATTCAAACACAGCTGCGAGCACCAGACTTTCTAGTAAGCTTACTTTTAACTTTTCTTGCGCCCTTTCTTCTTCACCTATTTAAAGAAAGTTTCTTGGTTTTGTTGGTTCGTTACCAAAGCTCATTTGTTTCAAATGTTACGTGCTTATTTAACTCCCTTCATTCTAGACTTCAAGTTGATTTAAGTTTCTTCTCCATGGTGCTTTGTTTTGCTTGCAAGAGATCAGGGGGAGTCACTTTAGCTTGGAACAGTGGCAGGAGCTAGAGCTGCAGGCTTTGATCTACAGATTCATGTTAGTTGGTGCTGCTGTTCCTCCTGAGCTTCTCCAACCAATCAAGAAAAGCCTTCTTCACTCTCACTCTCCTCCATATTTCCTCCACCACCCTCATCAAGTACCTTACCCTTATCATCAGCCATCTTGTGAGTGCTTAAAACCAAAACCTCTCTAAAATAATGCAGAGTCGTTGTGCTTATGTAGTTGACTAATCGCTGCAGTTTGCATATATTTATCAGCATGCTTTAATATATCAGTACGTATTATTGCAAACAGGGTATTGTGGAAAAACAGCCATGGATCCGGAGCCAGGTAGGTGCCGGAGAACAGATGGGAAGAAATGGCGGTGCTCCAGAGACGTGGTGGCAGGGCACAAGTATTGCGAGCGGCACGTGCACCGTGGCCGCAACCGTTCAAGAAAGCCTGTGGAAAATCCCACACCTACAATATCCACTAACATGATAAGTTGTAATGGTATTGGAGGTGCGGGTGGTACTGCATCAGCTGTTGCTTTCAATTGCAGTACCATATCAAGATCAGAGATGGTGGCCAATGGGACTCGTTTTTCTGATTCACCAGAACCACCTTCCATTCTTCTCAATCACAGGTAATCTTGCAGGCCTTCTATAATTGAATTTGATCAACCCCCAACCCCTAGCTAGCTAGTTATGCTATAACAAGCTCATTTCTTTTTAGTCGAAGGTATTCTTGAGGATGATACTTTAGGTATAAGAAAGTAGTTCGTATAAGCTGAATTGTCAACAAACTAGGAGGAAACTTGATGATGGAATCTCGAATATTGTCCTTTATTGGTGGGACCGAACCCAGTTAAGGAACACTAAGAAATATGTCTCAAATCTGGGAAGAGCTTTAGATTCTGTACAAAGTACACATTAGATCTGACCCTATCAAATTCTATGTTTGTTTTTGCATAATACTTTAAGAAAGAATTCGACTACAAACGACCTTTTCATTTGCTTGCTTTAATCTCATTGCTTGCTCTTAAATTACCTTGTACCATTGTTCCATATTGCAGCTCCAAAACTGAAAGCAAGCGCTTAGTCGGACCACAACCTTCAAATGAGGCTGGTAACAGATCTGATGGCCACATTCTGAGGCATTTTTTTGACGACTGGCCGCGGCCCGTTGAGGAATCAGGCAATATTAATGCTGGAAGCTCAATGAACTCTGTAACCAGCCTCTCCATTTCAATGCCTGGAAACTCATCATCAGACGTGTCGTTGAAATTGTCCACTGGGAATAACATTGCAGAAGAGGAGCCGGAGCCAGTCCCAGTCCCAAGAAGCAATGCAAGCAATTGGGCAGCTGCAGGTGCAGGATGGGGCACAAATATTACAAACCAGGTGGTGGCTTCAATGGGGGGACCTCTTGCTGAGGCGCTGAGATCCTCCGCTACCAACTCATCTCCCACGATTGTTCTACATCACTCATCTCGCCCCATTATTTCTGAAAACTAGCTTTTAAATTACTTAACTAGCACTCGATTTTATTTTTTAGGTTATTTGGTACCAGTGTACTATTATATGTACATATATACATTAATTAATTAATAATTTGGTTTTTTTTTTTTTTTTGGTTGGGTCTTCTGGTTGCTATAGACTGCACTGCATCGTAGGCAAAATCTTTCGGTTATATAATTGAAATCACTTCATTATGTTGTTTGTAATGTTTAATTTGACGAGTGCCTAAGCTTAAGGTAACATTTTCCTCTTTGACCGTTGAGGCAGAGTCAGGTCAGATGCCTTAGTCCTGTCATGTAACTTGTAGTTACAGCCTTACAGGCTATCTGTCTTTTTTCTTCTTTAGATGACAGATTATCGTTTTTATTAGGTAATAAATATTTTCCATATTATTTAAATTTAATTGGTTTGAGCATGACGAAACATGACAGATTGGAAAAGGGAGCACCATTCGATTAAAATTGGAAAAATCAAATTGAATCGAATCAAATCAGTAATTTTGGTTTGGTATTTTATAAAAATTTTGAAAAAAAAAATTGAAATTGAAAACTGAAATTATTTTGGTTTGATTTGGTTTTTTTTTTTAAATTCGATTTCTACTGAAAATTGAATTAGTCTTTTTTTTTTTTCACACCTAAATACTTGTTGCAAAGTGTTAGAAAGAACATCTGTTAACAACTTATTTTCAGCTGTCATTTAGTCGGATTGATCGTCTTTCGGTTGTATTTTCCTAGTCTTTAGGAGTTAAGCTCCACTATCCTAGCCTTTAGGAGTTAAACTCTACTATTAGCATTTCTTTCGTAATTCGGTTATTTTGTTGCCTATTTAAAGGCCACTATGAGCAATAAACAAGTCGAGTTCACAAAAGATAGTTTTTCCGTTTGTATCGGTGGTATCGAGCTAAATCACCGATAAAACGTGAGAGTGCTACAATAGTAGCTTCGGAGAAAGAGAGCAGATGTGAGCGACGAACAAAATCACTTCATTGTAGTAGCGATGTCCACGAAACATTTGTTCAACCGACGATTCCTTGCTTTGATGGTCATTATGATCATTGGAGCATGTCGATGGAAAGTTTTCTCGGATCAAAGGAATATTGGCGGGTTGTATGCGAAGGGATTCTTGAACCAACGAGCGGGCGTAATATTGACGGATGGGCAAAAGTCGAACTTTAAGGCCTACGACTAAAGGATCTCAAAGCAAAGAATTATCTCTTTCGAGCAATTGATCGTTCAATCTTGGAAACCATTCTTTCGAAGAATACTTCAAAGCAGATTTGGGATTCTATGAAAAGAAAGTTTCAAGGATCGACTAAGGCAAAGAGGCAACGACTTTAAGCACTTCGACAAGAGTTTGAATTACTCCGAATGAAATCTGGAGAATCGGTTTCGATTTCTTCTCGAGGACAATGGCAATTGTCAACAAAATGCGGGTTTATGGAGAGAAGATGGAGGATGTGGCCGTAGTCGAAAAAATTCTCCGTTCAATGACACCTAAATTCAACTATGTGGTTTGTTCAATTGAAGAGTCAAAGGATCTTGATTTTCTTTCACTTGATGAATTGCAAGGCTCTCTGTTAGTGCATGAGCGGAAAATGAATCATCAAGACCAAGAGGAGCAAGCTTTACTAGTATCAACCAATAGTCATTAGAATGGAGGTCGAGGCCGAGGCCGAGGCCGAGACGAGCGAGAGGTAGAAGTAACAATGACGGGAGAGACTTAAATCATCAACAAGATGAACACACTCACACATCCTAAGGCAAAGGAAGAGGTACGGGCAGAGGAAGAGGACGTGCGGGCCATCAATTGACACCCAATAAGTCGAATGTGGAATGTTACCGATGCCATAGGTATGGACATTACAAATCTGAATGTCAAACTAATTTATCCAAATACAATGGAGAAAAATCTAATTTTGCAGAAATTGAGGAGGAGATATCTTTGCTCATGGTTTGTCATGCTTTGGAGAAGAAACCCATAAGAACCTATGGTATCTAGATACCGATTGCGGTAATCATATGTGTGGTGACAAGTCAATCTTCCGCACACTTAGATGAATCATTTCGAGATGATGTGAAATTTGGAGATAACTCAAAGGTCTCGATCATGGGAAAAGGGCGGGTAATCATTCGAACAAAAAATGAAGCTCAAACAATTTCTAATGTCTTGTATGTTCCAGATTTAAAGATCAATTTGTTGAGTATTGGTCGGCTTCGGGAGAAGGGATATCGGATAACAATCAAAGATAGAGTATGTCGTATTCATGATGAAAAATTAGGCTTAATTGCTCAAGTGTCAATGACTACAAACATGATGTTTCCGTTATATCTCAACAACATTAACCGAGTCTTGTTTTACGACAAAATTGAAGGATGATGTTTGGCTTTGGCATTATCGTTATGGTCATCTTAATTTTGGTGGCCTAAGAACACTTCAACAAAAGAAAATGGTAGTTGGTCTTCCAAGTTTCACAATTCCTTCCAAGATTTGTGAAGAATGTGTTGTTAGCAAACAACATCGAGATCCGTTTCCAAAGGGAAAATCACGAAGAGCAACAAAACAACTAGAGCTTGTACACTCCGACATATACGGGCCAATCAATCCTTCTTCCAATGGAGGTAAAAGATATATTATTATTTTTATTGATGACTTAAGTTAGAAAACATGGGTTTACTTCTTACGGGAGAAATGCGAAGCTTTACAAGCTTTCAAAAGCTTTAAAGCAATAGTTGAAAGAGAAGTAAGCTCGTCTTATAAAAGTGTTATGCACGGACCATGGAGGGGAGTATACATCGGGTGAATTTGTGAGGTTTTGTAACACTCATGGCATCCAAAGACAATTAACGAGCAGCATACACGCCATAACAAAATGGCGTTTGTGAAAGGAAGAATCGCACAATCATGAATATGGTGAGAAGCTTGTTGGTGATGAGCAAAATGCCAAAGAATTTTTTGCCGAAGTCGTTAATTGGAGTGTTCACATTCTCAATAGAAGCCCAACTCTTACTTGTTCGAACATGACACCGGAAGAGGCATGGAATGGTCACCAACCAGCGGTAGATCATTTTTGAATTTTTGGATGTGTGGCCTATGCATATGTCCCCGATGAAAAGAGAAAGAAGTTAGATGACAAGGGTGAAAAGTGTATATTTCTTGGTGTTAGTGATCAATCTAAAGCTTATAAGCTTATAATCCTAACACAAAGCGAATTTTTGTTAGTAGGGACGTGATTTTTTATGAAGAAAACTTCGGAAATGGGACGAAGGTGGAACCCATCAATGTATTCCCGTAGATTTTGATGGGGAAGAAACAAAATCAAGGCAAAAACTTAGGGACAATGTGCAACAACTAAGTACGAGCTTCAAAATCAACCAATTATAGTCCCAAATTCTTCGCAAGCAACGAGCAATTGAATCAAGGGCACAAAGAATGAGAAGAAGGCCGAGCATGGATGAGTGACTATGAAGTCACGGGGATCAACCAAATTGAAGATCCACTCACCTATTTTGCTTTGTTTGCGGATAACGATCCTATAACTTTTGTTGAAGTCGTCAACCATTCTAAATGGAGGAAAGCAATGGATGAAGAAATTGCAGCCATTGAACGAAACAACACATGGGAGTTAACCGAACTTCCAAAGGGCAGGAAACAATTGGAGTGAAATGGATTTACAAAACAAAGTTGAAGCAAAATGGTGAAGTTGATAAATACAAAGCACGCTTGGTGGCTAAAGGCTACAAGCAAAAGTTCGGGATTGACTACAAAGAAGTCTTTGCTCCTGTTGCTCGGCATGACACGATTAGATTAGTCATTGTATTGGCAGCACAAAACTCATGGCCCATCTTCCAATTAGACGTCAAATCAGCCTTCTTACATGGAGACTTGGAGGAGCAGATATTTATTGATCAACCCCTAGTTATGTTAAAGTTGGGCTAGAAAGAAAAGTGTATAGATTAAAAAAGGCTCGTATGGACTTAAACAAGCTCCAAGAGCTTGGTATAGTCGAATTGAGTCTTATTTTTTGAAGGAAGGATTTTTGAAATGTCCTTATGAACATACACTTTTCGTAAAAAAAGGAGATGATGGAAAGCTTCTTATTGTTTGCTTATATGTAGATGATTTAATCTATACTTGGAAATGACCGAGTCATGTTTGATCAATTTAAAGAATCCATGATGGCTGAATTTGACATGTCGGATCTTGGATTAATGCATTATTTTCCTGGTTTGGAGGTTATTCAATCTACTGCTGGAATTTTTATCTGTCAAAAAAAATATATGGAAGAAATTTTAGACGGGTTTCAAATGAAGAATTGCAATCCTGTCAACGTGCCGAGCATACACAAGTATCAAGCTTGTGAAAAATCTTGAAGGAGGAACGGTTAATGGTAACTCTGTATAAGCGGATTGTGGGAAGCTTGATGTATTTGACGACCACGAGACCGGATATCATGCTTGCAGTAAGTCTTATTAGCAGATTTATGAAAAATCCAACGGAGATGCATCTTACGACGACGAAACGAATTTTGAGATATTTGCAAGGAACCGTAGATTTTGAAATATTTTACGGGAAAGGAGAAAAATCGAGTTGATTGGATTTATCGACGGTGATCATGCAAGAGATCAAGATGACGGAAAGAGCACTTCGGGGTATGTGTTTATGTTGGGGTCGGGAGCTATCTCCCGGTCATCAAGGAAGCAACCTATTGTCACTCTTTCAACAACTGAAGCGGAATTTGTAGCAACGAACGGCATGTGCCTCTCAAGCAATCTAGTTGAGGAATATACTTGGAGAGCTTCGGTTTATTCAAGAACAATCTATTGCAATTTATTGTGACAATAGCTCAACCATCCGAGTTGTCCAAGAATTCTATTTTTCATGGAAGGAGCAAACATATTGATGTCAAATATCACTTCTTACGTGATCTCACAAGAGAAGGAATAGTTAAACTCATTTACTTGTAGAAGTGAGGATCAACTTGTCGACTTGTTTACAAAGCCCATCAAATTTGTCGCATTTCGAAGCTCGAAACTTGCTTGGCATTTGCGGTATGGAAGATTTTGTACAAGGGAAGGTGCTTTGGATTCAAGTTTTGCTAAACTAATGTTTCGAGTAACATTAGTTTACGGGAGGGTGTTAGAAAAAACATCCGTTAACAACTTATTTCCAGTTGTCATTTAGTCAAATTGACTTTGTCTTTCGGTTGTATTTTCCTAGTCTTTAGGAGTTAAGCTCCACTATCCTAGCCTTTAGGATTTAAGCTCCACTATTAGCATTTCTTTCGTAATTCGGTTATTTTGTTGCCTATTTAAAGGCCACTTATGAGCAATAAACAAGTCGAGTTCACAAAAGATATTTTCTCTGTTTGTATCACAAAGATGATTGCGATCGAGGTGGATTTCATGATTCCCTCAATTTTTATACCGATCATGGCCCACACTTTTAGGGTTGTGATATTTTCATTCTCATCAAATTGTTTTTTTTTCTCTTTATTATACATTTTTCATGAAATTTTGATTCTATATTCATTTGCTCTGCAATCTCTTTAGCAAAAATCATAGAAGATGTAAACCAATTTTCTTTATAATTTTTTTTTTTAAGAAAAGGACCTTTTAAGTGATCTTTTGCAACAATCATGTCCATATTTTTATATTGCAAATATTTATCAATCGTATTAATAGCAAACAACATATCATTCCAAATAATCATGCCTAATAAAAATTTAAAATTTTCAATTTTATATGTTGCTAAAAAAATAGCTTTACTTTTTGTTTTAGGATTTTCACTATTTTATGCTAATTTATATAAAGTATCTTTTATTTGTGGAGCTTGAAATTTTATTGTTTTAACATGACTTTTCTAATGTGTTTGTGATAATGACTTAAGTGTCAAATTAGAAATATGATGTAATATTTTTCATAATTTTAATTTATAATTTAATTGATATGTTTTTATATTTCATTCTAATTTTTAACTCTTACAAATTTGTGATTTTCACAAATTTTAAATTATTTTTTAAATAAAAGATATTCTTGACTCCTAATTAGTGGCGAGTGAAGAGTTTTTTTAGAGAAATAAAAAATACTTCTCTATAAATAAAATGATAGAATTCTTTATTAGAGATGAAAGGACTAAAACTATGAATTTTCATTAAATATGCATAAAAGTTTAAAAATTACATCTTCAATCTCCATCCTATGTGTTTCGCCATTGCATCTAATGATGTAGGAATTCGAATATATATATATATATATATTTTTGCAAACCTAAACAAACTCTTGGGTAAATTTGTGAGATTAGTATTGATCAAACCAGCATGAGTGAGACATGGTGCTAAAACTAGAGTAAATTATAAATCAATCTTTCTAGTTTTTTTAAAAAAACATAGTTAATTTTTTTGTTTTAAAAATTAATTATTTAGTTTTTTTTTTTTTTATGTTCTTATCAACTTTTTAAAAAAAAAATTGGTTAAAAAAATTAAATAGGTATTTGGGAATATCAATGAAAAAGGAAATTTTTTAAATAAATTAAATAAAATATGGTCAATACTAATAAAAAAATATATTTGCTAGGATATCAATATTTGTGATGTAATTAAAAAAATTGCAAAAAAGAGACCTTTCAGCTTGGCCCAATAAAAGATTTAAAATTCATGAGAAAAAATGCAAAAAAATGTAAAAAAAAAAAAAATTTAATTGAAAACTGAAAAATTGAATCGAAAATTTCGGTTTTTTAACCAAAAAACCGAACCTCAATGTGGTTCGATTTTTATTTTTGTTTTAGTCAATTCAATTAACCGAAAACTAAAAAAAAAAACCAAAACTGAATAATCACCTCTTTAACCAGAACCAACATCTGTTAAGAAGTCCAAAATGAAAAAAAATAAATAAATTACACGCATCTATTTAATATGATATTTAAAATTTTGTATTTGTTTTTAAATTTTTTATTACATCTCATCCGTATTTTAAATTTTTTAAAATGTTCAAACTCTCGTCCAATCAATTTTTTTTTACCATACACAAATTTTTTGAACCAAAATACTATTTATTTAAAACAAAACAAAAAACAAATACAATCATGATTTTCATGTTTTATTTTTTAAGTCTTTAAAATTATTTTTTATTTTATTTTATTTTGCATTTCAATTAAAAGCATTTAAAAAAAAATTCATATAGTTAGAAAAATTAATTGAAATAATAAATTAAATATTTTAAACACTTTAAAAAACAGATAAAATACAATTAAAAACTTAAAAATGGATAAAAAACTTTGAACATTGTATAAAAATAAATAAAAAATATATTTATCCAATAAAAAAATAATACTGCCCTTAGCACAAGAAAAAAAAAGAGTTGAAGACCAAGCTATGGGCATCTTCTTGCACTTCTGAGCGCATAGAAACAAAAAGCAACAGGTTCAGCAATGTGCTTGATAATAAAAATCTAATCCCTGAATTGCATACGGTATTCCCAGCTATTGCTACCCTCACGATGACTATAATCAAACTGATACCCACATGAGAAAATTAATCAGACATTCCCATTTTATTGTAAATGCACCATTATTTACATGGCGGATATAGCATTACAACGCGTGCCTATACAAGTGAAGGCCTAGTTTGCTCTCTGGAGCGGTCCTGCAAAATACTACACAGATGTCAGACGAAATTTTCTATATGTTTAACATTGTTTGGTCTTCTTTTGATCCACTGATTATACAAGTTCGCATTATATCTGCCTTTCCTCTTGGTTTTTATTGGTTGCGCCTTGGATGGCAAAATGCTGGCGATGGCACTGGGACCATGACCTAAATCATGGTCCTCACTGTAGACGCCTAATACCCATCCTACATCAAGAAAGGCTTTGTTAAGATCAATCTCAGAGCGCAGCAGATTCAGCTTCATTCTCAGCAGGTTCCAATTCATCCTCCACTAGAGCATAGACCACCGCCGTTCTACTTGGTGCATACACCAAGAAGGAATGAGGTCGGTTATCATACCACCCATCCTGCACAATCACCACAGAAATGTTGATAACTATTCTAGTATTATAAGGAAATGACCGGGGAAGATAGATGATGAAACTTAAATTCAGGTAACAAACTTGACAGAATTTCTTACAAAGCTGAAGTACTCAGCATTGTGATCAAGCCTTTTAAAGCCTCCAAACAATGGATCATCTGAATCTAAAACAACCTGCAGCGAAGAACAAAATGGGGTTTCAACATATAGGTGGAAGATTTGAGGCAAAACTGGTACAGCACATGAGGCATCAACTAGGCCACAAGTTTTAAAAAGAAAGATACTGACATATGCTGGGGATTTCCTCGATATCTATAAACAGAACTGAACTGAATTGTAATCTTACACATTACTCCTCACCATAGATTAATCAATACCACGCATACAAATGGAAGGCCACTATTAGCACTGTTGATTTTGGTTTTTAATGTTTATAACTCTTGGTACTTGTGCAAGTATAAAAACATAAAGTTAGAGAGACCATACCTTGTACTTTCCTGGCTTTAAGCAGCCTACTCGGTAGTCTGAATAGCTGTTGGTCCAATGAAAATTGAAGACAAAAACCAGGTTCCCTCTTTCAAAGACAATAATTCGATCCCCTTCACTTTTTCGTGATATATATTGGTGCTCGGAAGTCATGAACTGCAAAAACAGTTACCGTTTAAGCATTAAATTTTAAAATTATATTTCCCTTTTTAACCTTAAATTTTGCAAGCATGCATTGAGTAGCAAGCATGCAGATTCGCTGGTTCAGTATTTCATGCATATAATTGAAATAAGAATGAAGGTGAGAATGCTCCTTTGCTGGGGATGGGGTTCAGCACTCTAAATTAAATTGTAGCTGTTTCACAAGGAAAGAATTATTGTCAGCTATTTTTCAGCATGTGAAACAATAAAATTCCAAACCAAGAAGTGAACAGAAAAAAAATTGGGATATGAAGGACATTTACAAAGCTATTTAAATTCCATCATGCATGATGGAGAAACATTTTTCTAACCTTTATTAGAGTTAAAATAGCTGGTCAATTCAGTTTTAAAATAGTCAAGTATAACATTAAAAAAGAACAGTAACCAATGTGTTTGAAGAACAAAAAAAACTTGAATTTTCTCATGGAAACAGAAAAATACTGACCATTATTTGCAGATATGTTGCTAATGGAATGTGGTATTGTGGGAGATTATTTGAAATGATTCTAATTCTCTCTTACAGGTTAAATGTTTTACTTCCCAATATCTTGCAGATATTTGAAATCATGTGATACAAGTGTATATAATTACAGGCTTCAAACACATCAGTTCACAGACAAGAAATGGAAAAAACAAATCAATCTAGAATATGGAGGTGCTGGTTCCTTTACCCAACTAAATCCAAGATTCATTCAAGCAAACTGAATATATGTTAATAACCCACAAATGCAGACTGGCAGCCAAAACTATGCTAAATGACAGCATGACAGGAACTTACACCATAGATTTCTTCAAGATGCTGCATTGCCTGATCAAATTCTTGCATTCCACGATATCTTAGATAGTCCGCATCACCCTGGCATGCATGGAAAACCAACATGTCACATGTGCATAAATTCTAGAAGCCATGGTGGAAAAGCTATTTAGTTTGTTTCTACAACTCGTAAAATTCATTGTGGGTCCTTTATCATTTGTTTTGTCAGCACAAGTAACGGTTATTAAGACCAACACCTTTCCAAGCTCCAGTTAAATAAAGAATATGCACTCAGAGGAAAGTGAAGAAATTTGCAATAGTCAGATTAGGTTTCAAAATCAGGCATAAACTTACTAGATCAAATCTACGCCGGCATTTGTCAAAACTGTTATCATTGCCTGCAATAATTTTACCATTTGGAAGGTGCTGCTTGCCCCTTGGGAAATCAATCCACTCTGAATATGAGAAAAATAGTATACCGACATCAATAAAAGCCATCAATTCAATAACAATTCATTAAATGATGGCTAGCCAATAAGAAGACATTAAAGAAAGGTAATAGCCAGTTAAACATTCTTACCAGGGTGTCCAAACTCATTTCCCATAAAATTCAAATATCCTTCTCCTCCTAAACCCATGGTAATAAGCCTGATCATTTTGTGCAATGCTATTCCACGATCTATGCGAGGAGTTGATGGTCTATCAAGAGCCATGAAGTCATACATATCCTGAGACAAAGAATGGAGAATTAGAACAGTAATTTCCTGCTTAATAAATCACAGGGTTTTATGATGTGGAATAGAAAGAAAAACAGCAAAGAATATATAAACAATGATAAAATAAAGATAATTTTTTTAATAAAATGGAAGTTGGAACAAGAAGTTCAAGGTTTTGGGGAAAACCTCAAACATATGTAATTGACTGATAAAGCAAACTAGCTTGTAAAATTTCTAATTCTCATAGGGGAAAAAATCACTGCTAATCCTAGTTGTTTAATATTAGAGAAAATCACATGCTAATCATGATAACTAAAAAGTCATGTGATTAGGATGTGACCCTTTAAAGTATTTCCTTGGAGGTTATGTTGTTTTAATTGGTGACTTAGACTAGCGAATCTTTTCGTACAAGAATCTAGGGCCTTAGCTAGTATAAATAGGCTGCTACAGTTATCTTTATAGTCTTTGTTTATTCATCAATCTATTTAGATTTTAGAGGATCGTCCTGCTAGAGTCAAGTTCTCAGCCCAAGTAGATTGAGAGGAAAAGTTTGTTTCCTTTGCTGATTTAGGTTATCTTTTTTAGTTTCACAAATCCTTATTCTATTCAGATCTAGTCATGTATATCTGACGCCTAAGGATATTAATCAACTAGGATTGGTGGTGATTTCTTTTCCGACAATGATTATAACTAGAATGAATAGGCTATAAGAGGTATTGTAAAAGACAAATCAATTTAATCAAATATGTTACAAAAGTTGGAGTTTTCTACAAACCCCAAATCTCATTCTCTTCTTCAAATCAAACTTATTCAAACGTTAACCAGTATTTTTCTGTTCTTTCTACTGCATCACTTTACTCATGCTGGAGTAAACAGTCAATAAAACAACAATTTTCTCTAATAAATTTGTGCAAAAATTTGATTTTGAAATTATATGGGAAAGAACTCATATAACCTTGTCCATCAACCAGAATGCAATGGTTTTGTCACCAACAAGAGCTTGGTCATGACTTTCAGCATACGAAACACACTTTTCCATCCACCTTCTGTTAGTGAGAGTGTGCACAATTTCACCCATTCTCCAGTCTTCATCCCTCTTCCTACACCCAGTATAAATAGAAAGTGACTGCCAGCTAAAATCTTAAAATAACATCAAACAAGAAGATGCAGATTCAAGGCAGTGGAAAAAGAGGTTGGAGAATCTCAGTGTCAACATACTTGAGAAGATCAATCCATTTATCAGCAATAGCCATGTGGAGGCGATAATCAAATCCCACACCGCCATCTTGGACAGGGATGCAGAATGTTGGCATTCCACTGACCTGCAAAGCAAATATAAAAAATAATTATAAACATAAAGCAAGCAGAGAGCTCAGGCATTGGATTAATTTGAGCAGGTGATTCCTCTAGGCAGCAAAAACTCACATCTTCACCAATGGTCACAGCCTCAGGGAAGAGACCATGAATCATATCATTAACAACCATCAGATATACCATGGCATCTACATCAGTTGCATATCCAAAGTACTCATTGTAGTTTCCAGTAAAAGCTACCTGCATCAAGTTGAAAAAATTAGCTAAAGAACACCAAACAATTAAGTTGCACCACCCATAGCCATAATAGATCTAAACAGTAAACATAAAAAAGAGCACAATGATCCCAGCCATTGTAGTCACATAAGGCTTAAAAGACAAGGATCTATCACTTCCATCCCTCTAATTGGGCACATCCAAGGCTTCACAGAGACTGAGAGATTGTTACCTGATCAGGGAAATAAAAATAATATACCATAAAGCAACTAAATGATACCTCTAACCCATGGTGGGTGTACATCATCGATGTCACACCATCAAATCTGAACCCATCAAACTTATATTCATCCAGCCACCATCTTGCATTTGAAAGAAGAAACCTTAGTACCTAAACCAATCAGCATGCATTTAGTCTTCACCAACTATGAGAAAAGGGCAAATGAAGAATAAAAATTCCAGACAAATACTATTTCTAAATATTCAAACAAGCACGTACTTCCCAGCTTCCATAGTTGAAAAGTCGGGAGTCCCACATCCAATGATGGCCCCGTGAACCGGAGTGGAAGTAATGACTATCAGTTCCATCAAACATATTCAAACCATCCAATGTATTATTCGATGCATGGCTGGATTCATTTGATATTAGTCATCAACCAGAAGAAAGATTATTAGTGGGATATTTAAAAATAATTGGCAGTAGAAGGTCATTACGATTTATGGAAATGAAAGATTGAATTAAATTAACAAAGCATAAAAAAAATATTTATCTTGTCAACATGATTAAGAGATCACCAACATGATCAGTAAGCAAAACACTGAGAAGAGAGTTGCTATCACACCAAACTTACTGAATGATAGCATAATAAGTTCACAAACGATACATTCTATTCTTGCCCATTATTGCATTGTTGCAAGGCATGGTTGAGATTGTAAAAAAAGCTAAGGATTAATGAAGGTTATGATTCATATACTCCTACACTTAACCCTAGATGAATGAATCTTAATCTCAAAATTCCAACTAATTTGCAGAATATATTCTTACTTTAAGATAGCTCAAACTTTTCTAATTAAATACTAACATACAACGATGTAAATAGTGGTTCATTCAAGACTGAACATTATTAGATGGCCAAACCACCCAATTTATTCCTATAATTCTGGTGCATTTTTCAAGTAGGTTTCTTCCTCCTGAATTTTAGAAGTCAATTTACCAAAATCATCAGGGTTTTAAAGTTTAAGTCTACACCAATCATTTCTAGATATTGTACTTTATGGAAAGTTACCTGTGAACGATATCCATAAGAACAAGCAGACCTAACTCATGAGCTCTATCTATCAGAGACTTCAGATCATCAGGGGTTCCACATCGACTACTGGGCGCAAAAAAATTTGTGACATGGTACCTTCATGTCATCAGAAGGAATTCACGAGTGAGCTTACAGGGAGGAAAACATACATATAAAAGAAAAAAGAGGAATAATAGAAGTGGATCTTCATCCTAAATATAGGAAATACCCAAAACTAGCATAATATGAGTGCTCTTGAATAGCCATAATCTGAACAGCATTATAGCCAAGTCTTTTGATGCGAGGAAGCACATCATCTCTAAAGTTGGCATATGTGTTGATTAATGGCTCCTGCATTTAATAAGTGATGGTATTATGAGGGATAGAAATAAAGAGGCTGCTATTAAATAGGAATAGGAAAAGGAAAGATTAAATAGTTTAAATATGGTCGTACCAGAACAAACTAAGATTGATTAACTAACCCATCCTCACTACGCACATACATTTAAACAAATTATATAAATTATGAAATTTTGTCATAGTAATTGAAAGCAAGATATCAGAAGTAGTAAAAATAATAACTATGACAGTACTACGAATCCTTGCTTTTGATTGGAATTTAATCATGTATGGGCAAGACAATTTGATATTCTGGCATATCGCTTTGTCCAGGCTTTGAGAAGGACCAGAACCCTGAACAAGGTTGCTGGTACAGACATCTGTTCTTTAAGAAGTTAAAATATCATCTTGCACTATTTGACAGGATTACAAAACAGAGGCTTGTGGCTTAGTGACTGATCATACTCCATAATTAAAGAGGCATTTCAAGATACTTTCAACTGACAAGTCAAAAAAGCATTCTGTATAAACTCCCAATTTTTCTAATAAAACCAGTCCAAGATATATATGAGCTCTAGCATGTTTGGAAACCATCCAATCATGAATGATTTTAAATCACCAGTATACAGAAGCAGTGAACAAAAACTTATAACATGAGAGAGAATGGGGGAAGATGCACACCGTACTACTCATTCCAACATGTGCCTCATAAATCCTAAGTGACTTTGGTCTCTTTGGTTGAGGATGTTTGAATATGTAATTTTCCTGCAAAGAAGTGAACAATAACATCAAGACAAAAAGCCACAGACCTCAGAAATTATGACAAAAATAGTACAGATTTTCAATTATTTACTACAATCTTGAGTGTTTTACAGCATGAACTGCAACTAATGCTTGTTGGTTCACAAATGAACAAATAAATTACAAGCCACACACAATACATTGATTATTCAAGCATAGTTGTTATGATATTAATATATTTGGCTTCCACTTCACAGATTAAGCTTTAACATCTGATGCTTGTTCAATATGATTACTGATTTTATCGAACATTGGTTGTTTCTAATAACTTCGGCAACAGATTCACTCTTTGCTGAGTTATTTGGATATTTAAACTGACCATTGGCAAATTGGCATTGATCAATAAGTTGTTTTGAAACAACCTGATTTGCCCTTGTAGTCCTAGCATGATACACAGACCTTGATTCTCTTTGAATCTCACAAAGCCACATATGTGGCCGCTTCTGTTAGGGTGCTCAGGGATGAATACATCAACTAAGTAGCTGAATAGAGAGAGAGCATTCCAAAGGTCTTGAGATTGAGGAGAGTTTTTCAGCATAAAGGATGACAAGTGCAAGGACGATTGGATATGCTTGGATGGATAGTTTGAGGAGGGTTTATGAGCGGCAGCATAGTTTCTTACTTGATTATGAGGTGAAGATTGATAGAGAAAGAGAGAGAGAAGAGTTGCCGAAATGCAAGGTCAAACTGTCTCTCGGTCTAGTGTTAGAATTATCAAATAGGCAGGTGCTTGAATCCTGGAACTCTCATTATTAAATTCCATGAACACATGATTCGTCCATATCCAAAAACCAGATGGGTTTGCCCTTGAGGAGTTCTGTCAAAAACTAATATGTTTGACCTGTATTGCTTTACCTAACAATTTTAATGTTTGAAACCTGATTGTTTATCAATAGTAACTAAATTGGTGAGGGATAACATTATCTAGTACAACATTTTGAAAACTTGGGGAGTCATTCCTTGCTGCTCTAAATTCTCAGTCTCCCAAACAAAGAGCATTGTTAAAGTCTCTCAAGGGGCCACTTACCTAAACATCTATAGCTTAGAATTAGGATCAACACAAAGGGTGCCTTTGGTACGATGCACAAAACTAGAAGTATACAAAACAAGTAGCCATCCTGTCTCCGGTTTGATGCACACTGGACTGTACTAACAAATGTTCTGTTTTGTGTTCGGCAAGTATGAGATAGGACAGAATAACATACGATAAGGATAATAATACCCTGATGTCTTCTCATGTATATAAATAAAAATAGTAATCAAATTTAATTGTGTTCAATTCATAGAAATATTAGTTTAGCTCTTATTAATCAAAATTATTTATTATTTTAATATGAATTAATAAATAAAATTATTAATGTATGCTAAAAAAAAATCATTTTTTTATATTACGTTATTTAGTTCTTATTTGTTTCATAGATAAAATATTTTTTTTCCTGTTTTTATTGAATTATTTGTGAAAAATAATTAAATTCTTGATTTTTAATAATAGTTATTTTATTTATTACTATATTTAATTATTAATTAATTTATTTATTAATATATTTTATCACTTACGTAAATAAAAATAATATTTTATTTAATCTATTTTGAAGTTAAACATTTAAGATTTTATTTTATTTATTTTTAAAATAATTGATATAAAATAACTTTTTTTATTATCAAAATAGTTAATTTAATTTAATTTATTTATTTTTAAAAATAATTGATGTTTTATTCATTTTCATTAAAGACATATAAAAAAAAGTCCAAAGTTCGAAAGAGTTAAGGATATTTTCAAATTTATGAGAAATGAGTGCGGGTAGTGTGGAAAGGATGAACAAGTTGTTCTTGGGGGGTTATAAGACAAAAATTTGGACATGAACAAAAGAAAAACCTTCTCTTGTCATGTCCTATACATACCCCAAGCAGCTTCCCAATGCATCATGCTGTCCTGTCCTGCCCTATGTTGTCCCATGTCCCAAACGAGTCTTGAATTCCTTTTTATAGAATTTTATTTTCACATCGACATTTTAGTATCCATGCAAAACCCATCTCTACAAAGTTTGCTTAAACTATTGACAGTATTATTTTCACATCAACATTTTATGCTGCCTTGACCCGCGTTTCATGATATTGTATGCAAAATATAGGTACAAATTATCACAATACATTCAGCAAAACCAAGAGAACACCAAACACTATACCTCCTCCGGCGGATCATAGTATACGCCGTTGTATGGGATTTCTCCTGGAGCCTGTACTGAGAACTTAATCCAAGCGGGTATAGAATCCTTAATGCCAGATGGAGTATCCATGCGTATCTGCAAATACATAGTCAAGAACAGATTCGATTATTTAACATATTTAAGTTATTAAACTAAATGAGCTCAAGGCCTTAGAATAAATTTATAATCATCTTCTTTTGCAACTGAGCGAAAAGATCTCATTTCAATCGAATGCAAAAAGCTAAAGTGAAGCAGAAACAGGTATCGTACATTTGGTTCGTTTTACTTTTGTTGTAAATACTGTAGCAAAGTTAAGAAGACCAAATTACACTGCTAAGATCATTTTTTCGTAGTGTAAAAATGGCTTTATTTCACATGATATTCACTGGCTGAGTAAGAGACTCCTGCCCTTCTTTTATAGTTCAAGAAAACAACCAAAAGAGAGAGAACTCCTAGAAGCTCCCATTTTGTATGGAAATGCATACTTTTAGACTACAAATGAAAGAAGTGAACTTATTTCCCTTGATTGCATAAAGGGACAAATACAGAAGAAAAATGTCATAAGCAATGAGCATCAAATTTCATCCATAAACTATAATTTACACGGTAAGATTTTTGAGTTCATTCCTGAAAACTGTTACCTTCACTCGAGAACCATGGGGAATTGGTGGCGAACCATCTGCGTTGTTTGGAAGAAAGACTTCCCAGACACCAAATTCATTCTGTAAAGAATGTATCAGTTGCTTGGAATTTAAATGGTACAAAAGATATAACAGGATAAAAAAGAGTTTAAGTACTGCTATGAAGACATTACACCCTGCAAACACCCATTATTATGGCATATTCTTACTGGCTTCTCTTTTCCCCAGACTCTTCACAATATGTTAATTAATAATACTAGTACTAGTATGTATTATTTGGACATGTCATTGGGCTTTCAGATTCTGCCACAGATCCAAACAAGTGTAAAATGAATAGCCTTCCCGGTTTCCATTTCCAAAAGAAGTCATATCAAAGCAATATTTACATTTCTTTTTCTTTTTCTATTGCAGAAGAAACAATAATTAGAATAAGAAAATGAGAAAGGCAAGAGATGGAATAGGCAGATAGAATCCATATTAGAGCAGTCCAACATAAAGTTCCCCCCCCCCCCAAAAATCAATTTGAGAAAAAAAAGGATTTATAGAAAATGAACAAGGTATATGTTCAAGTACAAAGAATCCAAAGAAAGGGGCAGATAAGTACAAGATTTTTGTTGTGAAAAAGAGTAAAGGACAAGGGAGACAAAGCCTCTATACCCTTTACCAAGCACTTGAAAGAATAACAGAGAATTCCAACGAATTTTAAATGATAAAATTTGAAATAAGCAGAATAATCCACCATTTGATCCAATGCTCCATACAGAAAAAGGATAGATAACATACCCGGGTCATAACATCTGCATTGGGATTCCAATTGTTAAAATCTCCAATCAATGCTGCCCACTGAAATAAATAGTAACTAGTCAATATACCAACATATTTGTCTGGAACAATAGAAAACAATCATTTCATAATCAGTCAATTTGCTTGACATCAGTTTGGAGGAACATTGTCTCTGACAAAATGACAAACATAAGCAACCTCTCATGTAAATTTATGAAGACTTATGCCATTAACAACATGGTGCCCTTTGTTTGTGCCTGAACATACATCCAATTGTTCAATAATACAGGTACTGTCACGATGCAAATCAGATTTGAGAATAAGCAGTCCTAACAAAATTGCCTTCTCTGAGATTTACACTAAAAACCACATGACAGAGAATTGAGCCAGCACAAACCTTAGCTCCTGGTGCCCATTCCCTATAAGTTATTCCTGTTTCACTGAAAAACGAGTTGAAATTATAATCAGTGAGAATGAAATAAGCTAAGGAAACTAAAATTGATTGGCTACAAAGAAAAGACTGACTAGAATAGCGAACTAATGGTTTTTGTTTTTTTCTTTTCATTTTTAGATTAAGCATGAGAGTAGATGTTGAAACAAATAGAGCATATATGAAAACGAACAAGCAATGAGCGAGTAAATTAAAACAATTGCCATCACAACGAAGTGAGAGAAATGAGTTTATGCATTCAATTCATGGCATGGTTAGGATGCATGAGAATTTTTTTCCCATTAATGCGTTGAACCACAACATGCATACAGATCTGCCTGTATCTAACCCAACGCACTATTTCTACATTTGTGGACCGTTTACCACTTTAACCCTTAGAACAAAATTATAGTCATAACTTTTTTCCAATTTCATTTCATGACCCATCCCTCATCTTTGCGGTTTGGATGCTATTCTTATCCCCCGACCAAGAGTCTAGATGCTTCTTAAAGCATCTGTTTGGCAAAGTGAAAATTCTTGTGAGAACCTCTAATGTTGAAAACAATCAACTCAAGGGCCAAAGTGTCACTACACTAATAGAAAAATTTGCAACGTAAAAACAAAGCAAAATTGCAAGAATTTCCATTGTTTTTTCCAGTTTGGAGATCCTTTTGTCCAGGTTTGTTTTTCAATACAGCTCATATAGATTGCAAAAGAAAATACAAGTGAAAACATGTTGCATTACTAACAGAAAGGGATGTGCAAATATGAAAGGTGCAATCGTTATGCCACAAAAAGCTAGAAAATGTATGGACATCAATCTGCAGAAATAAAAACGGTGGAATACCTGCATGTGAAACCAAGTTTTTCATAGCCACGCGAAAACACTTCCAAACCACCTTCATATTTGTCAATTTCTTGACGAATTGTTTTGTACCGTGCGTATCTACAATTGGGGAAAGATTAAATTAGTTATACAATGTTAAAAAAATTTATTGACACCTTCAAAATCATACCTAGAAAAAAATTATATCGAAGTATTTATAACTACACACATATGAACAAGTTAGTCTAAAGGTAGGAAAGAGTTAACAATTGTACTATAAAGGAGAGAGACATAGAATATCTATTTAAATTAGTTATATAAGTGTTTTCTCTCCAGGCTGCAGTTGTTATCAGGTCCTTCTTTCATGTAAAGAATAGCAGCACTTGGGTTCATTGGTATGATTCTCACAGTCTTGAACACGACAGACACTTTTCATGCAATATTTTACATAATTTTTATAAAGAAAAAAAATGTGATATGGGCTAATGCATAGAGTTTATTTCACTGTCAATAGAGAAAATTAATGAAAACAAAAAATTGAAATAGAAAGGAAATACAGTAAAAATTTCTAGGTGATTCAGAGGGATCCGAAGTGCTAGCCAACCATGTCACAGAATGAATTAGAATCTAATACAAAATGAGAAAAAGACAAATCTAAGACAGTGTTCAAAGAATCTAGTAAACACAATTAACAAATAAGTTGATAAGATATTACCCTTTGTTTATAAGAACAATCAACCAAAAATTGTACTGGGGACTAGGAGAGAAAATGAACAAGAGTATTCATTTGAAATCTTAGTCTGCTATTTCATACTATTGTTTAAATAGATACTTCTACGGGCCTGCTTTATCTAAAGTTGAAATAGGAATATATCCGAAAAAATGCAAAAAAATATCTATTGGAATTTGATCTCTGACTTGAATACAGACAGAGGATGTCCTCAAATAAATGAAAACAGACACCTTCCAGAAAAGTGCTTGTAAAAAGCAGCATTAAGAAATCCAATGATGGAAGTAGTTGCTGAGAATTTGCACACATGATTGCCAAAACTTTAGTACATAACATGAAACACCTGCTCATTTATTAGTTTTACTTTATGCCATCAACCCTTAGTTGTTCCACTTAAAATATCTTATGCAAGTCAAGATAGAGGATCTCACCGGTAATCAAGATGTTGACGGAAACCAGTCAAACTTGGATCTATTTCGTATATTCTCTGCCCAGAGCCAGGTGGGGGGATAAGCCTAGATTTGGCTTCACTTTTACCAATGATTGTTGGCTCGCTCAAAGGAGTAGATGTCTCCTGCTTTTCCTGTTCTTCAACAATCTGATTATCTTCCATTGTTAGACTCTCTACATCATGAGGTACCTAACACAAGAATCAAACAGGCAGAAGGAGGAGCTGATTTAACTAGGAATTTGGATGTCAACAGGCATTATATCAATCATCACCATTTTCTGGCTAAGACATCGAGAAACCAAAGAATAAGTAAGATAACAAACAAATAGATTATGGGCTAGACCAATCAGTCAACCAAAGTTTTTTATACACACAGACACTGCTACAGCATATAAATTTAGTTACACCCAGCATCTTTGTCAAAAAAGCTGTATCGTTATAAGGATGACATTCGAGTAGACCGATGACTTCAGTGATATCTAGATTAATCCTGCAAGTGTCCGGCAATGTGTTTCAAAATGTGCAAACGCAATTTCTCAACACGAGAATCTATTATCTGCATCTTCCAAAATCTCAGGCCTTTCTTATATTTATATTGTCCCAAGATCAATCACAAGCCTTTACAGTATTTGAGAGATCACAAAAGAAGAATAGAAGAGCCTTATAATACCTTTAAATTGCAGCATTTTTTTAATATCTGGCAAGCAAATAACTATGCTTTAGGTTCAAGATAAAGCTAATTTTAGGCTATCGAAGAGTTCCCAATTTTTGTTTGTCCTATAACTTCCTTCTGTATATTCTAATAGCAATTTTCATCCTCTCTCTCATTCTCAAAATGTTCTAATAACGAAATGCCTCGGTTGATTACTTTGTACATCACATGTCCATATACAAGAAGCCACCGCATGCCCATTTAGCAGGGGTTAAGAATTTGAAAAATAGGATACAGACAACAAAATTGCTTCTGTTTTCTGAGGATGAAAATTTCCCAGAAGCATATAATAAGAACGAAATAATAGTATCATGAAAATTTAAAGGAAAGGAAGGTAACAACTAGGGAATATGTACATAGACAAGTAGAAAATATCCATGGATAAATCATCCGTGCCCTTCATTTTGATTAGAATACATAACAGCCAAATGTCTCTGTTGCATCTCAAAATAGCTCCGAGAGAGATTACTTGTTCAAATGAGGCGGGGCCATAAAGGTCCACCATAGAGGAATGGTATTATTGCCTTTTAGTTTAGGTGGTTGTAATAAATTAAAAAAAAAAAAATTATAGAATAAAAGGTGGAAAGCCAATCTGGTTTTTAGCTTGTCCTAGGAATCTTGAACACAAGGTGTTTTGCTCCACATTAATTCGTAGAACACAATTTACCTTCTTTTTTTTTTTTTCCTGTAGTTTGGGATCTCATTTTCTACAAAATCAAAGGCTAAAACATGATTTGTTCATAACCTTCCAAATGCAAAACACTGTAAACTGAGAATGAAGAACATGTACAGTCATATACGTAGTATGCAGCATGTAGACTGGGAGATGACAAACCTGAGAATCTTCTGAAGTGTTGCCATCGAGGGGAACAAGGACTTTCTCGGATGTTGTTTTTGTAGTAGTACTAGGAGTAGGAGTGGTAGTAGTAACAGCTATATTTGGAGAGTCGGAATCATAAGAAGACTTTTCAGCAAACATCTTCACTGCAATGCAAACAAAATCATTGATCATGAATCAAGCTATTTATGTAACACAACAAAAAACAAAAAACGCAAGATTCCACTGGCCAAAAAGATGGAGAGAGAGTTACGAGAAGATGGCTCTTTCTTCAAGAAAAAGGAGAGGCCTTTTCGACTCAAAGGATCGCCACTGAAACTTGATTGAGACTTGCTGTTGTTGTAGACCGAAGGAAAGCAACGGAATCGTATCCCTGATACTGTGTAGTACACCATTTCTCTCTTTTCTCTTCTACTTTTTTCTACCACTAGAGATCTAGCTAGTTAAAACTTAAAAGTGTGTGCGCTGAAATTAAAATAATAATAATAATAAAAAAGATCAAAGCAGAAGCGAGAGATGCGTGAAAGCCCAGATTAGAAAGATTGTTATTATTGTTATAGGGAAATCCATCCAGTGGTGGAGTGGTGGTGTCATAATACGTGTGCAATGGAGAATTGCATGGGGATGGGTTCGTAGGCCCTACCACTCTATCAGAATCATTTTCCATCGTCAATCTTCCTGGTTTTTTTTTTTTTTCCTTTAGATTTAGCAGAGACTCCAGGCCAGTCCATGTGGGCTTTTTGTCCTTCTCTAGCTTATTTCATCAGGTACATGCTACGCGTCAATGGAAAAAGATCAGATATGAAAGGCCATGGATGTTATGTGTCACTCTTGATGGCCCATCTCCCCGTCCGAGGAAAGTGGGCCTTTTTGCCATGTAGATTGATATTCGCCTCTTCGATGAATCTTTTTTGGTATATCTTTTCCCTGTTAGTTTTTCCATCCCATCAAAAAGATGTTTTCGGTACGCATCCAGGGTGCCGTCTTTGGTTTCTGTAGGAAAAAGTAAAGGCATCGTCATTTACATACACCGAGTGTGTCTTTAAGAAAGCTACTCCGATAAATATCAAAGAAACAATCCATTTCTAATTACGAGTTCTACATTCTAGGATATGGAGGCTTGGATCGAATTTCTAATGGCATATTCTTTTCTCCGTATCTTTATACGAAGATTGATGCTAAGTTGTACTGATGAATTGTAGTAATTTAATCAGATTCACCTAATTTTTTTAAAAAAGACAATAATTTTATTAATATCAAATTGATATAAAATAAATTATTCTTTTAACATTTGCTATAAGAAAAAAATATATAGAATTTTTTAAAAAAAAATTCACAAATTTAGTGTCTCATTGTCTTTTTTTCACTTGTACTAAAAAAAAACAAAAGGATTTAATCTTTTAAATTTAGAGACATCAAACTTTCATTCAATAAATCAGATATAAGAGATAAGTTTTGATTGTAAGAACTAAATAAAAAGATGAGAAAATGTATCTATATCAAAGAAAAAATCAAATAAAAAAAACTAAAAATAGCCGATAATTGCTCAAGCTAGAGTTTATAAAGAGGTGTTAATTGTTTATTAAGATAGTTTTAATTATTATTTTTTAAGAAGTTCTAAGTGAAATCTTACTTAAAAGGGGGCATTATTATAAGGAATACAAAAAGAAAACGTGAAATTGCTGTAAAAATTTCATTGTGAATTAACAGTTTTTTTTTTTTCCTTTTTCTTGCTGGAGAAAAAGCCTTCTTTTGGCTTTAAGTAAGTTTTATTTTTATTTTAGTCTTTGTTTTGTAAATTTTTTTTATTTTGATCATCAAAATTTTATTATATTTGATTTTTATCCCTATAATAAATATTAAAATTTTATTATATTTTATTTTTGCCCCTATAATATTTTCTTGGCTTTTAGTAAAAATTTATGTGCTTTTTGTTCCTATTTTATGATATGTTTTTATTTTAGTCATTAAAGTTTTATCATGTTTGATTTTTATCTTTACTATACTAAAACTAAATAAAGTTTCACTATCCTAATTTTTTTTTCTTTTAGTGAAACTTTTCTTTCTATTATAATTCTTGTTTTGTGATTTTTTTTTTTTGTCATTAATTTAGTAGAATTTTATTTTTTAATCTCTGTTTTGTATTTTTTTTTATTTTGATCATTAAATTTTTATTATATTTGATTTTTTCCCTACAAAAAATTATTTTTTACTTTTAGTAAAACTTTTTGTTATGTTTTGGTTTTTATTTTGTGATCTTTCTTTCATTTTGATCATTAAAGTTTTATTATATTTTATTATTTTTTTTCTATATAGAATTAAATACAATTTCACTATTCTAAGTTTTTTTTCTTTTGGCTTTTAGTAAAAAAACATTTTCTGTTTGGTTCTTATTTTGTGATTTTTTTTTAGTCATTAAAATTCTATCATGTTTTACTTTTGTTCTTGCTTTATGCATGATGATTTTTTTTTTAGTCTTATTATTTATAAGTTTTTTTTTTCTTTTAGTGAAAGTTTATTTATTTATTTTAATCATTCTTTTATGATCTTTATTTTTTTTATCTTTTAATTTTTCTCGTATGTAATTTTATCTCTTTTTTTTTTAAATTCTCGATTTGACAAAAAAAATTATCTTTTTATTTTGGGTGGTCTCTCTATCTCATTAACAAATTATAGATGAAGAATATATGGTATAAATTAATCATCTAAAATTCAAAAAATACCACATCATTATTTTAATTACCAATTATTATAAATATTTTTAATAAAATATATGTTTATATAAAACAATATCTAATTAGCAACATTATATTACTCAATTTTTCAGACTTTTCATTTAGCTAACCTCACGAGTAAAATATGAAATATGTGTTTTAGTTCTTTTTTATGAATTTTTTTCGCATGATCCTTTTAAATAATTATTTTTAAATTTTAAATTTTATATGAATAAACATATAAGAATGTTGTATAGCTCACACTACAGCAACGAGCGGGATATATACTAGTGAAAAAAAACTAAAAGAGCTAAAGGTGGTACTGTTCACTATAGCAATGCCTTTTTTTTTTAAACGGTTGCTCAAATTGTAGAGCGCTCGCTTTACATGCGAGACGCACAGGGTTCGATCCCCCGCATCCCCAAGCCTTTTCCTTTTTTGTTTTTTGTTAGCTTAAAACATTTTTTGGAATCCCAGTTAAATGCAAAGACACAAAATAAAGCCCATGTTGCCTACTTAATTCTCACTTCGAATCATTTAATAGGCCATAACGGTTCTAACTAATTCAAAAGCCCAAGACCTTTCTATTTTCTTTTTACTAATGAAACATCCTAGACAATTTTTTGTTTTGTCTTGGATATAATAAATACTCAAAAATAAACAAATAGATAGATAAATTAGAATTCAAAATCTTAGTCTTGACTCTTGAATCTTGCTCATTGAATCTATATGATTCATTTGATGTCTAACTTCTGGATATCAAAATGTACAGACCATTTATACAAAACAATACAGTAGATGACACAAAATGAAGTGGAGAAGAATAAATGATTTGGGTAGCTATAACGAAGCATTTTCTTCCCACTGTTTCAAATTTCATTAGTGTTCAGATATATATATATATATATATATAAAGAACTGGTGGTGGCATTGTTCATTCACTGCAACAGTTTTTTTTTTTTTTTTTTTTACTGCTGGCTTCCTTTTATTTTTTTTCAAAGGGCTGGGCTGTTAGAACTTTCCTTCACTGTAGCACTGTAGTAGTACCTTTTTTTTTTTTTTTTTAAATACAGTTGGCCTCTTTTTTTTTTTTTTTTTTTAAAGTCTAGGTTGTTGGAACTGTTCCTTCACTGTAGCACTCTTTTTGTTTTTTAATTATTGATTTTCAATTTTTATATGTTCTCATAAGACAATTGTAGCACTTTTTTTTTTAATTATTGATTTTCAATTTCTATATGTTCTCATACGACAATTGTTCCGGTTCTATATAAATAATTTATTTTTATATATTATTATCATGAAATTAGGTGTGAAAATATAAACAAAAATCGTTGTTGTTTTTTAAGCTTTATGTACATTTTATTTTTATCACGAAATTAGATGGGAAGAATAAATGATTTGGGTAGCTATAATGAAGCATTTTCTTCTCACTGTTTCAAATTTCATTAGTGTTTAGATATTATAATTATAATTATAAAAATAAAAAGAACTAGGGGTGGCATTGTTCATTCACTCGTAACAATATTTTTTTTTTTTCAAAAGGTCGAAGTTCGCTAGAACTCGTTCCTTCACTCGTATCACTCTTTTATTATTATTATTATTATTATTATTGGTTTTCAATTTTTATATGTTCTCGGATGGCAATTGTTCTGCTTCTATATGAATAATTTATTTTTATATATTTTTATCATGAAATTAGGTGTGAAAATATAAAAGAAGATTATTATTTTTTTTAGTTTTACGTATAGTTTGAAAGTAATAGAATATATATGATATTTTTAAAATTTTAGTTTGAACATATATACTCGATTATATTATTTTTATTATTTAAATTTTATTTCTTCAATTGTTTGTTTCTTATTAAAATTCTCATCGAATTAATTTTTAAATTTTATATAATTTTATTTGTTAGTAAATTTGATTTTTTTTATATATGGCTTTTGAAATAAAATTTTAGAACATGATTGTTTTATTTTTAAATATATTATTATAATTTATATTATTGATTATTTTTATGATTTTTCAATGAAAATGACATTGTTGCATATTTAAATTCGATGAGAGAGAGAGAGAGAGAGAGAGCTAAAAGTGTGTTTTAGATCATTTGACTTAATTTTTAAAAAAACTAATAATCAATTAAAAAAATACTCGACTTAGTTTTTTATTAAAATTAATAATTACTTAAAAAAATTCACGGGTTTTGTTTGGTTATATATATATATAATTAAAATTTATCGAAACCAATTTTATAGTAATTTTTATTTAAATCTACTCACTTCGATATATTTCATGCAATTTAAGTAGGTTTTTTATATACTCGAGTTTTATAAGTACAATATATATATATATATATATTTCGACGAGGGAAGGAGAGAGAGAGAGAGCTAAAAGTGTGTTTTAGATAATTTGACTTTTAAAAAAAATAATAATAATCGATTAAAAAAATAATTCTACTCGATTTTTTTTAAAATAATAATTAGTTAAAAAACTTTACAGGTGTTATTTGGCTTATATATATATATAAGTAGAATTTATCGAAATCAATTTTATAATAGTTTTTATTTTATGTATGATTTAGGTGCGGTTTTTTTTGTTTATCTATTTACGGGTGTGATTTTGTGTCATTTATTTATTTTATTTGTTTTTTTATTTATAGTTTTGTTAGAAATCAATTATATTTGCACACATAACATCAATTATTTGTTATTTATTTTTTTCATGTTCTAAAATCTGTATTTTTAAATGAAATAATTCAATTAATGTTTTGAAAGAACCTCTTAATTATTCAAATACAAATTTTTATACTAATATTATAAATTATTTTGTTAACAAATATATATAAATCAAATAAGTTCGTTGAATATATATATTGGATTTACATTAATCTTCGAAACAAAACATCTACTCGCATCATACCATACGAATCGTTAATTGACTTAATTTTGTGTTTATAATGATTATCTGATCGTGGCACAGTAGGGGTATCTAACTAGTTGATACTAATTGTGCTGTGAATTCTAGCTGATTGTTAGAGTATGTAATTCTAATCCTATGTTTGTTTCTACGGAGAATTGTATCTATTGCACATCTCACGAATGGAAAAATAGAAAAGCTTTTGTGAAAATAAAATGAAAGGAGAGACTAAACGAAACATTTGCTTCAGTTTCTAAATTAAGATAACACATTTGTTGACATTTATTAACATCAGCCCTTATGAAAGCCAGGTCAAAAGAATGCGAGGAATACACAAGATTGCAAAAAGACAAAAAAAAACAAAAAAAAAAACAAAAAACAGGGGCTACACTTTGTTTCCCCGTCTATGAATAATTACAACATTAATTCTCTGTAGTATGGTATAAGACTGTTCTAAGATTATAATAGTGAAGCTGCAGCCTGCAGGTTTTATCTCTTCTGGAAGTTGAGGAACTTGATACCATAGGAAAACAGAAAGAAGAAGAGGACAACCCAACCAAGATGGGCGACGGCTACAGCAGGAAGAAAGTCGTATTCAAATCCCAAGTAACTCTTGAGAAAATCCTTTATGGCCACAGGCTTAGGCTCGCCAGGTACGGAAATAGTATTACCATTCTCCCCCACTTGGGACGTCACAAGGCCGTACAATGTCCAAGCCACTGGAGAACACCAGTAGTACCACCTCCACCATATAGGTATTTGCTGCGATGAATGAGAAAAAACATTTGAGTTTTTATAGACAAGGGGAAACGAGTCGAAGTAGATGAATTTTATTATGAAAAGCTTCATCAGATATTAATTAATTATAATGCTATTGAGTTTAAGACTACTTACAGGTCTAGGAAGAAGGAAACCAGAGAACAAGTTCCAGAAGGACGTGAAGAAGGACATGCAAATGGCACCTATTTGTGGGGCTGGAGTCAACGCAACAACCATCATCCCAAATAATGTGAAGTAAACAAAGCACATGAATATGAAGTAGTAGAAGAACAAGAACTTTGAAACTGTCCACTCGAAGCCCATCATGGAGAAGAGGATAATGCTATAAACAATAGTTTGTATTGCTACATAAATTGCTTCTATAGCCACCTGTAAGAAAAATATTTTGTTAGCCTGAAGTATAACGAAATTTTTAAGTACTACAGATGGTGAATTTAAAAAAAAATTAAGGATAGAAGATGGAGTAGAAATTGTCCCTCGCATATTTTTACCTGCGCAAATGCGTAAGGCAATGGGGAATACATTCCAGCTGCTCTTTCGCGATAGAAAACTGTTCTCTCAATAGCAACAATTGACTGCACTCCAGCAGCATTGGTTGCTCCAAGGAAAAGCACGGCTGCGTACATGGCTCCGAAAACATTCAATAGATCTTGCTGGCTAAATCTGTTAACAAATCAAGTTTACTTGTCAGTATGAACGGAGAATGAAAAAGCAAGCAGAAAACATATGGCATTCAAAAAATGTGCAAGTTCCCAAAATCGGGAACGTTTTCCCTCTCTTGTGAGCAAAATAAAGGCTACTCCTGCCATGTGCTGGTATGAGAGTAAACAATGTTACGGGTACGACAAATTCTGATCGAGACAGAGAATTCGAAGCCTTACGTCTTCTGTCCTTTGTCCCAAAAGATGAGACCGAATATGAATCCGATGGCTAATGTCATGAAGAGGCGAATGGCGTTATAACGAGGGTTTCTCCAGTAAGACCAATGCTGTTTCCAGAAACAAGCTTTACATTGAGTAAGAAAAGTTTGAGAGTATTGGGTTGGGAAGTACAGATCCCTGGATCCTGGTGGTGGTGTGCTCAGCCCTTTGATAAGTTCCTGATTCCTCCTGAAAGCATTTCAAGATGAAAAATAAGAAGACAAATACAAAAATTCTAGGCTATTCACTGGTATTATAGTTTATTCAAGCTTACTGATAGAGAGAGGAGTTGGCATAAATTTCTGCAAAATCTACATCCAGTTGTGCCTCCACTGAAGAAGCACTAATTTCAAGCATCCATGTTGCAGGGTTATATCCATCTTTTATCTTGGGAACACCTGGGACAGCCTGTATTTAAATAAAAATATAGGTTTATAACGCAATTTCTGGCGATATGGATCCTTTTTTAGACCACTTAAATTTCAAGGCCAGGGAATGATCAGGAGGTATTGAATACTTGCATGGACATGAGCCAGATTTAGTAACTCTACTAATTTCTTTCTTTTTTTCCCCTTGAAGAAAGGTAAAGTTCACTCGTTGATGCTAAAGGAATCATGGATGAAAACAGAAAGGAGAATTAGTCACCTCAAAATATTCTATGAGCTCTTGAGAACGGCGACCAAGAGGCCCAGCATAAATGACCTGACCTCCTCTTTTCATCAACAGTAGCTGCAACAAGAAAAATATCAAGTTGCATTCAAATTTGACAGACACAAAAAAGAACCATATCAAAATCAAAAGGCAACACCTAAAAAAAAGTTGAAATTCACCTCATCAAAAGCTTCAAAAATGTCTATGCTAGGCTGATGAATGGTGCACACAACAGTTCTCCCCGTGTCCACGGTGTTTCTTACAGTACGCATCACGATAGCAGCAGCTCTAGCATCAAGACCAGAAGTTGGCTCATCCATGAATATAATAGAGGGGTTAGCTACCAACTCTACTGCTATTGTCAATCTTTTCCTTTGTTCCGTTGATAGACCGTCCAAACCTGGAAGTCCAACTAAGGCATCTCTGAGGGGATTTAGCTCAACCAATTCCATAACTTCTTCCACAAACATCTGTAGTCCATATAGTGAGGATAATGAGAATAACAAATCATACAAGGAAATTAGGAGAGGTTAAGATCGCTTAAGAAAACAGAGTTCTTAAAAGTCCAGGAATAACTAATTACTGATGAAATATTACGTGCCTTTCGGGTTTTCGTATCTATATCTTTAGCAAGACGGAGCCAGGCTGAGTACAGAAGAGATTCGTAAACAGTAACACGAGGTGAATGAATGTCATTCTGTTCGCAATAACCGCTCACACGAGCAAATGTCGCTTGATTCTTTGGATAACCTGAGATGTTAATAGTTCCTTCAATGTAACCACCGGTCTTCCTTCCAGCTAACACATCCATCAAGGTAGTCTTCCCAGCACCACTTACGCCCACAAGTGCAGTCAAAATCCCTGGTCTAAAAGCACCACTTACATCTCTGAGCAGTTGAAGACGATCTTCATCAATCCCCTTACTCTTCATTTCCTGGATAAAAAACTAACCTGTCATCTCAATGTCCAACCAAAAAAACAAAGTTTTTTCTATGGGAATATAAGCTGCCTGTCACTAGTCTTTAACATAGGAAGAAGTTAATTTTTTTTTAATTATTATCATTATGATTATTTTAATGTAAGTTGAAAATCTGTTGAACTCTTTAATTCATTCAAACAAAACGAGAAACTTAAATATGTTCCAGAGTTGGAACTTTTGTCCAGTAGCACCCAGTGGACTCTCTCTATTACCTAAGGGTGAGAAATTTAGATTTGAATCTAGTTATCTATTAGCACAGTAAGCTTGTATGTTTTCTAATAAAGAAAAACGGACACATGTGTCCTGATAGAGAAAGTTCCTGCAACATTCCCTGGCTATGCAGAGAGTTTATTTGGATAATCAAAATATCATAGTGTATCTTGCACAAAAAGATAAATGTTTCAAAAACCAAAAACTTGGGTGTAAATTTTTTAAAAAAGAAAGATTTGATGATTACTTACATCAGGCATATCCACATAGTAGTTCACGTGGTTGAATGCAAGTGAAAGGGGTCTGAATGGCAGAACCATTCCTCTTTTTGTTGAATTATCTACTGCGTGACCGGTTTCTGCAGAATTTCCCATATTTGCCATATCAATACCTGTAATTGATCACCAAAATTTCATGTATTTAGAAGACGTCCACATTTTAGAGGTGACATGTGGGCATGTTCACCAGAATATAAATGTCAAGACAGCCTAGAACAATTTCATAAAATATGTAGGTTTACAACTGTGAATTCCTCCATTTTCCATGAACTTATTCATTCCAGTCGGAGGGCAATTGGGGTGGCCGGGGATTTTTTTAACATTGAACTGGGATATGTTAATGTTATTACAATGTCAACCTCTTGCAACTAATACTCATGTTCAGGCATATTGTATGCTACCTTCTTGAATCAAGTTAGAACCATAGTTGACTTGGTGAAATGTGCTATATGTGCAAAAAGTGAAGGGAAGGGGAAGGGAACAACAAAGAAGCAAGAGGTTTTGAAAGTGTCAGACCTTCTGCTCTATGTTGTGCAGATGATGACTTCTTTTTCTTCTTCTCATCTTCTTCCACAATGACAGCTTTTGAGTCACCCAAAGCTGAAATAAAATTTTCACACAAGAGTTTGTCATAGTGAAATTTCATCTACATCCAACAATTCCAGAGAATAAGCATCAGACTGGGTGACTTACGGTTCAAGAAGGTCAAAGCTGCAATAAATAAAACGTTGAATATAAGCGAAAACCCAAAGAGTGCTCCAATACAAATCCAAAACCAATAATCATCAGTAAAGAAGCCTCTAGCCTTCAGAAGCACTTTCCCAACAGTTGGTTCAGTAAAAGTAGTCCTGTCCGTGTTATTCTGCAATTAGAAAATGTTATAAAGCTTTGATGCTGATTTATTTTTACACAAAAATCTAGCAGGCTTCATACCATCCATTTAATTTGAAAATTAAGGAAATAGTGCATCTACAATAGATTGAAAATTCTTACCACGCTCCACCTGTCATCAAGGAATTCATTCATGACAATGGCATTCTGTCCGTACATCATAGGAGACGAATAGTAGCCCCAGATCATCCATGGCTCAATGTCGTCTGCAGCCAGAGGGTGAAAAAGAATGCATAACTAAATCATTTCCTTAGAGAAAATCTAAAGGAATCACAAGTTTTGCTGAAAAGAATATTAGGTTGATAAGATGTGTTTTGCCTTAAATACTAGATGCAATAGTAAAGGGGCTGCCTTCTTACCTTTGGCAACGATGAACCCTCCAAGCACGAAAACCAAAAGCAAGGTGAAGGTCCCTAGTGTGTTTGCAACGACTTGAGTTCTTCCAACAGCAGCAAGGAAACGAAAGAGGGCCAGAGCCATCTGATGTATGCCAAAAAATGCAAGGAACTGTCGGAAGAACCTGGAAAAAAAGAGGAAACGTTTGTTGTTAAAAGTTGCTGTAGTAATTGTAAATTCATTCAGTATGCTTATCCTAAAAATCACTACATAAAAACATCATTGAAAATCTATGATCTGACTAAGATGCCAATTGCCACATAAAGGAGAAAAAGAAAAAAATAAGTTTCCAGCATGTGCAAATGGAGTTCAAATGAAAAGGAGCAAGGAATTGTGAAACTTCAAACCGTACTTACCTACTAGCGGAAGGAGCGAAACCAATGGTGTAATATGTTAGGATAATCCATATCCCTGATTCCATTAACGATAATGGAATCCTGAGGGCCCATATTGGTAAACCGAAAGCCCATGCAGGAAAGAACAAGAAGTCCCTCTGTTTATAGAAGACAGGTAGCCTGAAAACTGTCATTGCAAGTTCTGCCATGCCGTTAAACATCACATTGACTAGACTGAAAAACAAGGCTCCAAAATATTTTTGTCCACCTAGTACAGTCCCCACTTCCATTTCTGTCCGGAAAAACACTGTGAAGGCAATTATTGACATGATTGTTATCTGGGTAGTTTTGAATATATACAAAAAGGAGTTCCGCTTCATCAGCAGCCATTCTCTCGAGAAACAAGCCCTGAACAGCTCCCAATTTGAGATGCCATACTTCTCTTTGACCAATGCAGCCGGGTGGGCACTTGATTTATCATAAGGAACCCTAAGATCTGAAGCAAGTTGCTGACCGACATGAAAAGATTTGAAGCCTCGCACAAACTCGGCAACAGAAACATATCTGTAAGGTTGGGTCCTTCTGTACCAATATTGTTCCTGATCCTTCTTGGAAGTTACTTCTTGCAAAAAGTCAGCAGCTCCTTTCCTATCAGGGCATCTGAAACCCATGTGTTCAAAGAATTCGAGGACATGCTGGCGTGGACCTTGATAGACAATCTGACCTTCTGAAAGCAGGATAATGTCATCAAAAAGCTCAAATGTCTCTGGTGCTGGCTGTAAGAGAGTAATTATCATAGTTACATCCATAGTATGGACCATTTGCCTCATGAACTTGCAAATTTGGAAAGTAGTGGCACTATCCAGCCCTGTAGATATTTCATCCATTAAAAGAACCTTTGCTGGTCCCACCAACATCTCTCCTGCATTCAGTTTACACGATGCGTTTGAGCAAGCAACATGCGAAAAGGAAAGATTTATTTGAAAAGACCAAATGGAAAAAATAACTTTTCAGGAGAATTGACATTTTGGGTTTCCAAAAGCACAGTTTACTGCAAAAATAACCAGTACAGTTGGTGTTTGAACAAATTTTGAGAGAAATGACTGCAAGCATTATTGATATTAGTATATTAGTATACTGGGATTGCAAGAGAGTGAATTCTTCTATGTTCAACAATTACTTAAATTTACTAAGCAAGATTATGTTGAAGTAAATGAACAGTGAAAACACAGCTTTCATGCTTGATCTTGTGGCGAAAGAGGGGAAAATACCAGTAGTCACACGCTTCTTTTGCCCTCCAGAAATACCCCTTCTCATGTCATTCCCAACCAAAATATCAGCACAAATATCCAATCCGAGTATCTGCAGTTAAAGATTTCTAAGGAGTTAATCTTGCAACTTGGCTTGTTCAATAGAGTAGCAAGATAAAGGTAAGAAACAGGATACAAATGGACCAACTTGAAATGTAGAAAGCAAACCTTGAGAGTATAATCTGTAACCAAACTATGTTCCTGGCCTGCCAAAGCTGTGGCTTTCATGAATGCGTCAATTTCTGGATCTGGCTTAATTCCTGCTTCTTTCTCACGTCTTGAGAGTTCTACCAGCAGTTCATACCTTGTGCCCACACCTAAGCAGCGTCCAGAAAAATCCAATGTCTCTCTGACTGTCATTTCGCCATAGTGAAGATCATGCTGACTAATGTAAGCACAAGTCCTCTGAGGAACGAACTCTTTCAATTCATGCCCACAATAGGTGATTTTCCCGGATGACTGTTCACAAAGTGAAGATTAAACAACTTTATGCTGAGATTAAATAACTTATAATACAGCCAATTAGGCAAAAGGCTAATAAACCGAAAATGATTTGACTTCAAATAATCAGCAAACATACTCTTAGATCCCGGTGAAGTTTCCCTGCAAGTGCCATTAACATTGTTGTTTTTCCTGAGCTTGGAGGACCCAAAAGTAGGGTCATTCTGAAAATAACCATGTTGAGCAATAATTAATGGAAGTTCTAGGAAAAGAAAGAAAGAAAGAAAAAGACTAACTATTCCATCAGATAAATACATGATGAAAGAAAGATGAAGCCAAAGACATTCAGTATGCAAGTTTCCAGATGCAAATGGCAGAGGCAGTTTTACCAAATAGAAGGCTAAGATGATGGGCCTTTTGCCTCATATCCTATATAACTTCTCTCGTTTTTATCATCATCATATTCCTATTAAAAGAGGAACTAAAATATATCCATCATTAGTTTCAGAAAAAAAATACCTTGATGGTTTCACAATTCCACTGATATCTTGAAGAATCTGAACTTTTCTCTTCTTTGATGGAGAAAGCCCAACCAGTCCAATAATACTCTAATGTACACAAGAAATTAGAACAGGAACACAGAATAAGTGATGCATCCAATATTTCACTTTATCAAAATGGCATACACAGATCAACAATAAAGCTAATATCAATAATCATTTAAAAAAAAAAAACCTTGGTCGTAATTATTTCAAATAAGTAAAATAAAATTCTCCACCTTCTTTTTATAATCAGTTCAAAAAAAGAAAAAAAAAGGGATGGAGACAAAAAAGAAGCACCTCTAATGCATTCAGCGTAGCATTATATAAAGTAGGAAGTGCTCTGCCTCCCACAAAAACCTCTCCCTCCACTGATAAGTGCTCATATCGAACTTCAATCTTTGGAACCTCAATCCCCACTCTATACATAAATAAATGGATCAATTAATTAAACAGTAAATTAACTCATTAAATCAAACGGAAAAAGAAGAAGAAAAAAAAAAGGGAGTAATTATATACCTATCAGTCCTGTCTCTGAGTTTCCTTAAGAATTTTTCGTTGTCATCTTCAACAACTTTAAGTATGTTCTCCATCAACTGCTGCTTATCTTGCATTCCAAGCCTTGTAACATCAACTTCACTTTGAACTGTTCTTCCATTGTCAAGTACTTGCCTTAGCATCCCTTTCCTCATCCGATCATAAGTCGGTAGTCTCTCGATGGCTGCCCATCGCAGCTCCTCCTCGTCGTTAAGCTGCTGCTCTCTTCTCCCGCTATTCTGGCTGAAAACGTCTGTCGGTGCTGTCCATGCTTCTCTTATGCTAGCTGACGCCCAGCTCCTGTAACTAAAGCTCCTCCTGCCGCTACTCATTGATCTTGCCAGATCATCTCCGGCTAAAACTGCCGCCATCTTTGCTTATTAGAAAAACAAAACCAGCAGTTCTCTACAAATTCCGTCGATCAAGACCTTGTCTCCTGCGTTTATAACTAAGCTTTACTTGATTTAAACAGCTACGTACAAGCACTAAATAAACTCGATCTGATTGATTCTACTGGTATTTCATCACTCATTATCGCGGAAATAAACCTGAAACTCCACCAAGACGCCCATAAGTCTCTCTCCCTTAAAAATGGTAGGAATTTGGCAAATGTTGATTATAAGAATTAATGGAAATACTATTTAAAAGAGAAGAGTGGGAAATAATTAGCAAGTCAATGGAGGGCGGAGCCCCAGTCAAGTTGCCGGCTATTTTTAAAAAGCTTGAACATGAGGACTCCCCTCCCGTCAAACCTGTTAACCTTCCAACTGTTTTTTCCAAAAAGAAAAAAGAAAAAGAAAAGAAAAGAAAAGAAAAAGTCCAATATGTACCTCTTCAATTCCATCATTTATTTATTTATATCTATATATAAAATTCGACTTTGAGACCTCTTCTCTTCAATTCTATTATTTTTCAATATATAAAAAAATGAAATTCAAATTTTTAAAAATAGATAAAACACTAATATTACCACTATTAAGCTACTATTCATTAATGAAACATGTGTTTTATATATGTATTCTATAGTTTAAATTTAGTCAAAAAGACAAAACATGAAACGCGAAAAATAACTAAAAATAAACTCCAAAAGAACGCTGGGAATCATCTCTGTTGTCGTCTCCGTGTTTACTAATTAATACGTCAGCGTTTGATTCCTTACGCTGTCACACCTCTTTCTAGTAGCCAGTACCATTCCAATTCCATTCAACTTTGCCATTCTTCTCTTATCCGCATTCGAGAAGTCAACAAAGAAATTTCGTCTAGAAGACAGCAGCAATTTTCTGTTATTATTGATTACTAATATACATATATAAAATCCTTAGTCGTCAAAATTGATCGTTTCACGATGTGCATGCATATAACCATATCTCTTGCTCATAAATATCTAATTAGTTATAATTAGCAGCCTCTGCCTTTTGGTCTTACCTCTGTTTTTCAACTGCCTCGCCTTCTAGAAAGTCAAAAGGCTGTAGCTGAGTTTGGCAGACGTGAGCTTACCGCCAACATGTGAAAAGGAAAGCAATACTTTTCTTTTCTTAAGAGTAATGTCTTTTAATCAGTTTCTATGCCAATGGAAATTAATTTTTTCTTTTTTTGTGTGTGTTTAATTTTCAAAGTATGTTTCTAATTACTGTTCTAATAATTAAAATGAAAAATATGCATCTTTATCTATCAAGTGATTAAAACAAGGCAATTCGATTAAAGTGCCTTTGAATCCCCGGCATGTGATGCACGCATTCACCCACAATTAATATGGAGGTGTGGACGAAGGAAAACGATTTTAGAATATAATTGGGTTTCATAAAGATAAGGGAATAGGAATAGGGGACAAGGCAATTTTGGTAGCCAATCAAAATATTATTGGAACTGTCTCACTATAAATGATGATTCCTTTGATCTTACTCTGGAAAAACTAAAGGCAACCTGGGAAGCTCCTATTTTTAAATCGAATGTACGGTTCTTAGATTTATTTTAAAGAAGTTACTCCTGAATTTTCTAAACTTGGATATGTTGGCACGCGTGCTCTCCTGGCAAATCATTAATTACCTACAATCTATAATCCATCTGTGATCTATCTATAATCCATAATCCGTAATATAAAATGAGAACAAATGTAACGAAGAGAGATGTGTTTTATTGTTTGCCGTGTGTGTTGACTAATGATGTGATTTTTTTTTTTTTTTTTTTTTTGATGACAGACCAATCATGTATATTCTACGTCCAATGATGTTATAATATGTGTATTTATTTTTGTTATTGCATCTCATAGGAAAATTAAAGTTGCATTTATGTGGTCATAAAAAAAATCAATTGATTTTTTTAATTAAAACTTTTGAGTGAAAGATTTTCACTATATATCTTTGTGTTAATTATTTTTACTTAAATAGAATAAAAGATATCATTGTAAATTTTAAAGTAAGATGTATGCTGATATTTTTATACCAAGTGTAGAAAAAAAAAAGCAACAAAATGATTAAAACAAGTGACTAACTAGCTATAAGGTAGTGATGGTCGTTAGATGGCTATTCTACTGGCAGTTTTGTTGTTGGTAATGCTAGTAATAATAGAGATAGAGAAAACGATAATAAAGTGACCGAGTTAATAGTTGTAACCATAAAACTAATAATGATTTACATGATATATGTATCTAAAATATAAAATTAACTATGACTCAAACATATTTAATTAATTAAAATAGATGTAGTAATTAAAATACATATAAATGATTAAAATTATAATTATATGAAACAATAAGACATAATTCATCACATCCATAAATCTTAAAGCTTAATGTTTTTTATATAATTAAAAAAAACGTATATTGATTAATATTGAGAAGCATATAATAAATAAAGATCGATTTCTCTCTTTCAATCTCTTTCTTAACGATGGAAGTTGAATCTTTTTTTTTCTAGTGTGCTACTTTTATTTTTTCAAATAAAAAGAAGATAAGACTTTTTTATAGTTTAATTTTTAAGTCTTTCATCAAAACTTTAATGATATATCCTTATTAATTATATTATTACAATTAATTAGATACATGTATCATCCTTAAAGACATACTAATAATGTGGATACTTAAACTTCAGTTTTTTTTTTTTTTTGCTATTTTTACGTTTTAATTCTTTTGTTTTGCAATATTTATATTTTGTTATGAAATAATAAATGTTTATAACCATTTCCTATTCTCATTATTTATTATTCTTAATATTTTTAATGTGATTCAATTCACCATTCAATATAAAAAATTGAAAGAATTATGTAATTCATGTATATTTTAATCGTTTACAGTCCCTTTTAATTATCTCCTTAATCTTGAAGCTTATAAATAAATTTAATTATTCATTAATTGAGATATTAAAAAATTATTTAGAGATTATTATCTCTTTTATTCACTTTATATTATAGTAAATTATTTTCCTATACTGTTGAAATGAGCAAAGGGTTGCCAGAAGTTGGCAAAGTTGCATCGCTAGGCCAAAACCAACAACTCCCAGAACATTTTCATTCAATGCATACAGACAAGTTTTTTTATTTATTATTGTTATTTTTTTCCTAAGCCTCGTGTTCATGAGCCTGGTTTGCCAGACCCACAAACAGGCCAAGCTCTCTTAAGATTGCATCAATTTCCCATTAAGTTTTCCAAAACTGATCGTTATATTTCGGTTCTTAGCAAAAGCTTACAAAAGTTATTTATGATATTTTTTTTATCTTTTTTTAATTAAAAGAATATCTAAGATTATGTTACTCTTAATTAAAAATTCAAATACAGTTTTAGAAACTATCATAAAAATTGAACTTTTTAGTTTTACATCTTAAAATTTCAATTGAGTAAAGTGTTAACAAATATTTATGTTTATGAGATGATAATTCAAACTTAAAAACTTTTGAACACTAGTCAAACTATCACTAGTTATCTATATATGAAACAGTTTAATCCAACAAATTTAAATTATATAATTTAAAAATTATTGGTGCCCTAAAATACGTATGAGTATTAAATAATCAATAATCTATCCATATAAAGTCCATGATTTTTCAATATTTTTCATCCATTAAAAATACAAGAGAAAGCTTAAAAGTATTGCTTTTGATATATCATTTGATGCAAATGCGTTAATCTCACAAGCCTTTTTTTGTCAGAAAAAATGAACCCAAACATTATGATCATTCAACCGTCACACAAAGCCATCGAACTCCTCTGCTACAGTCTCTTGAGGATAAAAATAGAACATGTATTGGACCTGTGTTTTGTGTTTTTATTAGTTTTTTTTTTTTTTTTAATCTTTTTATAAATTGTACGTTGCTTGTATCGGCTTTTTTTTTTTTTTTTTTAGTAAAAATGAATCAAATTCATTGCTTGATTATATATATAGAAAATTCCAACAATTACCTTTCAATAACCATCGTTACCTAAAACTGTCACTATCTTGAAAACAGCAATGGTAAGTTAGAACACCATCACATTATCTTAAATTCAATAAATAGATAAAACCTTTATCTAAGAAATATTTATCTTTTATCAAAAAACATTTCCTAGGATTTTTTCTTATATTTTATTTTGAAAAATGTGAATTGAAAGCACAGTTTTCTTTTAAAGAAGTGTACAATAAATTTTTTTTCTATTTTCATTTTTCTTTTAGATTTTCAGGTTTATATATATATATATATATATGTGTATGGATCCCCAGCCCATTGGATTTATTAATCTTGTCTAGTGCATGTGAAGGTGGATCGAGTATATTGAGCTCATGCAATCATACGAGCCCATTAATGGACTACATAAGCTTGAATACAATCTGACAAAATGGGCTCGCCCATAGGAAAAGGGTATGTGGTTGTGACATGCACATGTACGATGACTCAACACAAAAGGGACCGCAGTAAACATACGGATACCCATTACATGCCAACAGTTCACCTAAACATAGATCACACATCCCTTTATAGTTCGGAGGGAAAAGGCTCGAATTTCCACTTATGGGATAGAATTCATAGCATGTTATTGTATTATCTAATATTTTTTTTTTTTCATTCAAGTATAATATAAAATAAATCACGTATTATTTAAAGTTGAGACAAACTAATTTTTTTCATTCAACTCTATTTACTACTTGTCACCATATATTAAATTGAAGGGCTAGTTTGTCTCAAAATTTTGTTTTTATGAAAAATGACATCCAAAGATTCAATAATTGTTTTATTATAAAAAAAAAAATCTATAAGTTTGACTACTTAAAGTATAACCCAAAAAAGCACAAGTAAAAGCTTTTTTATCAAGTTTCGATCTTTTAGGATCAGTTAGTCCGACAAAAGCTAAATAACCCCAAACTCTTGAAAAATTCAATTTCGGCTTATACCCTTTCCATAATTCATAAGGAGTAAAAATGGTGGTTTTATGAGGAATTCTATTCAAAACAAAATTTACGAGATAAAACCTTATAAATTCCTTAAAGCACTAAAATTAACAAGCATAGAATTTATCGGATTAATTAGAGTTATGTTCTTCCTCTTGGCTACACCATTTGAAAAAGGTGAATATGGAGTTGTAACTTCATATACAATACCATTAGATTGTATAAAATTATTGAAATTAATAAAGTCATATTCCATACCTATATCATTTCAAAGCCTTTTGATCTTTTTACCAAATCTATTTTCAACTTCTTTTAAGAAATTAATATTTTTCAAAAGCTTTATTTTTATAATTCATAAGAAAAACATATGAATATTTTGAAAAATCATCAATAAAAGTTATAAAATAACGATTACTATCACGAGTTAGAATACCATTAAACTCATACATATCAATATGTATTAATAATTCAGAATTATGATCAATACGTTTAAAAGGTTTTCTTGAAATTTTAGCCATGCTACAAGATTCATATTTTTTAAACTCATTTTCAACTTTATGAATTGAACCAAGATTACCCAAGTTTTTTCATATAATTACAATTTAGATGACATAATCTACCATGCCAAACATTCACACAAGAAACAATGTAAGCAAAAGTGAATCTTTCATTTTTTATTTTCATGTTAATTTTAAGTTTAAACATCCCACACAAGATAGCCTTTTTCAACAAATAGGTCTTTTTTTGAAAAATACATATTGGTCGGTCTCAATAACTTGCTTAAAGCTAGACTTATTAAAGAGAAAGTCAAAAACCAAATTCTTGCAAATTTCAAGAGCATACAACACATCTTTGAGAATAACCTCTCTTTCGGATATAAATTTGATGAGTACATCTCCAATCCCCACTATTTTAGTAGTGTGAGAATCACCAAGCATGATTTTCTTTTTCTCATCTAAGATTGTATAAGTCTTGAATAAGTTTTTGTCATAAAGGACATGTCGAGTAGCTCCCGAATCAATCCACCACCCATTTGAATCTTGGAGAACATTAATCTCAAAAATCATAATCACAAGTGGCACTTTGATAACATTAGCTTGAGCAACAATCCCACGTTTTTTAAGGCTATAATTTTTAGCAACATTCCCGGATTACTATAAATAAAACAAGCATAATATTTTTTAACATTCTTATGGTTGCTATTATTTGGAGGTGGTTTAGGACGTGGTCCATAATTTCTTGATTAGTTGGAGTGATACTCGGTTTCCATAAGGCTTTTTCTTGAAAAACTTTTTCTTTGGCTTATATTGACTATTAAACTTTCCATTACTTTTTCGCATATGATAGGAGTTTTCATTAAAGGTAATGAAGTTTACCTCAGTACCATTTAAACCGTTAAGTTCAACGGTTTTATCTTGGTTTCTTGCTTCTTCTTTGACCCTCGGATGAGTAACAAGAGCTTCAATAGAAAGCTCATTTTGTTTATGCCTCAAGCCATTAACAACATCTTTCTAGGATTCTGACAACTTGTCAATGATGACGGAAACTTATATTTCTTCATCTATATGCATGCCTTTAGAGTGGATGTCATGTGCAATCATTTGAAGTTCATAGATTTTATTTAGCACGAGCTTTTCTTCATTTGTTTGAAACCCGAAAAAGATTGCAAAACATATTTTTGGGATCCAGCTTTTTCGATGTCATATTTTTTGTCCAGGGCCTTCCAAATCTTCTTAACGGAAGAATATCTTTGATCATAATAGTCATAAAGCTCATCAAAACGATAATTTAGTAAATAATTTCAACAATGATCACTATCCCTTTCTATTTATTAACTTTTTTTTCACGTTAAGCTATCTCTTGATCACTCGTATTTTTATTTCTCTTTTTCTTAAGACTTTTTTCGGTTAAGACATAACCTATATTCAAATGAGTATGATAGAATAAAGTCTTTTGCCTTCACCTTTTGAAATTTACCCTACGAAAGCGAGAAAAGGTTTGTTAAGGTTACCCATTCCAGTGGAACTTTGCCCATACATATTATTAGTGTTTTCTATTAGTAAGTATCGTCTCATATTGTTGGAAAAAATAGGAGAATATTACCCGAAAAATTTTGAATGGAAAGTACCAAACCAGACTTTATCGAATTTTATAAGTGATTGTCTTGAAACATAACTAGGTTATTTTTTTGAGACGATACGCGTCATCCATAAAACTTTACTCGATGCAAAGAATCAATGATACATTGTACGTCATTTTAGAGATACAATAAGTTTAATTACCTTATCATGTCTTGACAACTTTACACTACTTGTGAGATTTGAAAGTCAAATATAAACTAGCATCACTCTCATCCAAAGAAAACTTAACAAAAATAACATGGCTTTTAGTAGGAGATAAAGGAAGATAAATTTGCAAGAAAATTTATCTTCTCCGAGCAAAGCAAATAAACAATTCAACTATTTTCTTTCAAACACAAGTAAGAAGCAATTGTTGTTATTGTTTTGTATAATAGTAGGAGTAGCACCCATACATACAGGGTAGAAAGTTGTCCGTTGGACATTGAATTTACTAGTTAAATGTTTGAAACATTAAAAGAAAAAGAATCGTTAGAGAGTTAAAGGAAAATGTCATTAATTAATTGAATAAAATAATAAATTGTTGTAGCCTTTCATTTTAATGTATCATTCAATTGTTAATTGAATAAAATAATATTAATTACGTAACTCTTGCATTTAAAAAGTTCAAATCAATATTTGCGACTGTTGAAACAATACATGTTGCTGTTTCCAAACAGTAATTTGTACTTTTGTTTTTTGAAATATCATATTAAAAAATTATTTTGTTAAAAGTATTCTAACACTATGCAATGAATGAAAAAACATGCGAATAAACGAGGAAAAAAACAAAAATCAAGGTAGATTAAACATGATAAGTTTGAAATTAAATCACATAAAACAAAGTATTTACGCCTGTGCCTGTGATTTTTGTGTTCCCTTTCCTTCTCATTATGCGTCTTGATCTTGGTAGTGCCTGTGCGTTAAACTGATGGCATGATTAAAGCCTCTAATCATTACCGTGAGTTGATGTCGAAAATTTTGGCCCTGAAAAAAAGACCATGTGGTTAGGTTATACTTACATCACAAAAACCAAATGACAAGATCTGTCGACCCAACACGAAAAACTAATTGACAAAAGAGCGTCACTATTTGTTAAGAATTATTTTTTTCCATAAAAATCTTTGCAAGAATGTTTACGAGTTATTAAATCAGATGCATATAACAAAGGTCAATATCTTTAGCTTAAATTAAAGGCATAATAGATTGGGTAGGAAATCCTCCTACTGAGCTGTCCAAATGCGTACTGTAAATGATTTTCCAAATCAACGAGATTTGACAATTCAGTCCTTGAAAAAAATGGCATTATTATAAAAAAAGCTTTATGTCCGATTTATTTATATACACAATAACATCATGTGGTGTGAAGGTAAGTACCTCAAAATCATAAAAAAAAGAAAAAAAGAAAGAGGATTTATTTCGATTAAGTATAATTTAGTCTGAATTTATTTATTTATTTATCATCAAGTAAAATAAAATCACAATAGATTAGTCTTTTGTCAAATAATAATAAAAAATAAAAAATTCAAAGACTAGTCCCTCTCTCATGTCCGTCGGTTAATTCATTACACTGTCCACATCTATCAGCATCTCCAAATTTTTCTCTTACATTAGACCCACAAACATATATGGTGGGACCCTTCGCTACCAAATAATCAGAGCCCAGCCACAGCCCACCCTCCACAGCCAGTATGACTAACAAACAAAGAATACGAGCAGTGAGCAAAGTTATATGTGACCTCTCTCTGTCTCTGTCCCTCTGTCTCTCTCTCCTTTTGGCCTTCTTCTCAAGTGCTCAAGCCCCTGACTCTAGGGTTTTCAAGTCCCAAATCTAATTTCCGATTGCCATGATCTTCCGCTCAGGTGTTGATCATTATACTTCCATCTCTCTTTAGATGACTTGTACTACTGCGTTTTCTTTTTCTTTTTTATATTTTTTATTGCATTTACATGTAAAATATTTGTCTTCTCTTTGCTTTCCTACCTTTTCTTTCTGGCTTCGATCTTACAGTTATGGATGGACTCTGATTCATGAAAAATAAAATAATAGTAGTTGAAATTTTGATAATCGTGGAGTTGAATATTTTCTTTCTAAATTTGGAAATGAGCTATAGCTTGATCCATGAAAAATAACATAAAAATAGTTGAAATTTTTATAATCGTGGAGTTGAACATTTTCTTTCTAATTTTGGAAATTAGCTATAGCTTGATCCACAATTTTTTTTTTTTGGGGAAATCGTTAACAATGAAAGAGGAGCGTTGAATCTTATTCTTACCGAAGTTAAAGTAAATAAAAAAAGAAAACTACTACATAAAAAGTAATTGAAGATACGTAGCAACTTTATCTTCTTCTTTTTTTTTTTTTTTCTAATTTTCAAATGCACCTCTGTTTGTAGTTGTACGTGTTCGTGTGGATTTGAGAAAATTGAATTTTCGAAATTTGCTTAAATGTTCAAATGGGCGATAATTAGTTTTAATTTTCTTTTTGTGGTTGTGGAAATTATTGGATTGGATTATTGGAAGTCCATTTCTGATTAGTTTGTGTTATCTGAACTTTGGTGAACATCAGGGATTCCGATGTTGCAGTTTGAAGTGAGAGGAAGGAGTTAGCAGATCATTCAAACTCTATAATCAAACAAAGGTCTGGAGTATTTGTGCTCATCTTTAGGTCTTCAAAGTGTTCAACTAACGGATTAGTATAAACATTAATGCTATATTGAACCTGAAAAAAGAAATTTGTTGCAGTATAATTGCTTGCATAATGGGGTCTTATTCTGGTACTTGTGAAATTGTTGAAGCAAGAGAAGAGCTGGATTCAGTTGTTTATTCTAAAAGAGCTTATCAATCTCATTCTGGATTAACTGAGGGTGGTGATGACCGAAAGCCTCCTGTGCTAAAACTGGGGTACAAGGATTCTTTGGAAGATGATATCAATCAGCTTTTCGAGGCTATCAGTCTTAAAACCTCATCCAAAGGTTTAGGTCAATCAAGTCAGGCTGGAACAAGCGCAAGCCCTTTAAGGAAAAGTGCTATGAAAAGACCAATTACAGTAGGCGTGCCGCATTCATCTGTAGCTGGAAGTTCTGAGCCTGTGTCTCTGAAGCAGGCATTACGGGAACTATGCATTTCTAAGGCATCAGAAATGGCTGCTATGAAAAGGTCATCGAAGTCGGGCAGCTCTCCAGGTCCCTCAGAAGCTGGAAGGATAAAGAGATTGTACAAGTCAGTTGTAGTTGAAACCAGTAGACCTGGGCTTCCCATGGTTGAAGTATCTCTAGTTCCGGAAGAAATCAAGTCAAATTTTTCTGAGAAGATGCCTCTGCAACTTGAGGTGCCCAAGATAAGATCATTGAACCAGAGTGCTCAATCTTCTCCTCGGTTCCTTGCATTGAAGTCACCTAATCAAAGTGCTAATTCTTCTCCTCGATTTATTGTTCCAGCTACACAGGATGCTATCGTGACCTCATCAAGACAGAGTGAGATTGTTGCTGCATCTCGAAAAGTTGGAACTCAAGCACTAAAATCGCCGAACCAAAGTGCTCTTTCTTCTCCTAGATATGTAGGCCCAAGCATGCAAAATGTTATCGAGACCACACAGATGCATAATGGGATTGGTTTTGCACGAAGAAAAATTGGAAGTCAAGAATTAAAGTCACCAGCACAAAGTGCTTGCTCTTCTCCTCGATTAGCGGTTCCAACCTCGCAAAATAGTACTGGGATATCATCAATGCAAAATGACTTTGTTTCTACATCAAGAAATGTCGAAAACCAAGCTCTGAAGATGGAGAAGGTGCTGAAAGAGAAGCATGCATCCACAACGTCCGTGTCGGATTCTGTTGATAATACCTTAGAGCTAGATATAGACGTTCCCACTTCAATCAAGGCAGCAAGTAAAGCATCAGCACAAAGATTTGGCCGTAAAGGCAGGTTTCACACAGCACCGTCTTCAATCAATGGAAGCAGGGCAATCAAGTTCACCAGAAATACTCCACGTTTAGCTAAACCAGCTGTAAGGAACAAGAGTTCTGCGAAGAAGAAAATAAAGCAGGGTACGACTTCAGCTGCTTTCATTCCTAATGAAGGTAATAACAGCTTGGTTACTAGCACCGGTCAGCTGGTCTGTCAGAAATGCCAACATACTTTTAACATTGCAGCTGAAGATTCCAACCAAGGTTTTCATGGTTCATTGTCTGCCAGTCTTAATGCTGAAGTTAGCTCAAGCAATAAGAAATCTAAACCAGAATTCACTTCAAGCAATTGTAACAGAAACGGAGCTGTTGGAAAAGTGAAAGACTCAAAATCAATACAAAAAGAGGAATTTTCCCAAAGCTCGAAGAGTAGCCTTGGTGATTATAGCACTAGTACAAGCAACAGTGATGAGAGCAATGCAAGCAGGTCAAGCTGTGGTAACAGACCTCACATGTCAAAGGATTTCAGATGGCAAGCTATTAGCCGTCTTAAGATGCAACATGGAGTCTTAAGTTTGAGACACTTCAACCTCTTAAAGAAGCTTGGTTGTGGAGATATAGGGACTGTTTATCTTGCTGAGCTTTTGGGTTCAAACTGCCTGTTTGCTATGAAGGTCATGGACAATGAATTTTTGGCAAGAAGAAAAAAGATGCCTAGAGCCCAAACTGAAAGAGATATATTGAGAATGTTGGATCATCCTTTCCTCCCTACGCTGTATGCACAATTCACATCAGATAATTTATCATGTTTAGTTATGGAGTATTGCCCTGGTGGAGATTTGCATGTCTTAAGGCAGAGGCAACCCGGGAGGAGTTTTCCTGAACCAGCAGCCAGGTAGGATACTTATAAAAGTCCATTTAGCTCATGTTTGCTCCTGCTGTCTTGTTCCTAATTATAGTTAAGTGCAGAATGAAAAAACACGTTGCTGGGATGTTAGAAACACAACTGAAACCTGAATAATAAATCCAAATGCATTAACCTGTATCAGATTCACACACATGTTAATTGTAATTCATACATTTTTCGATATTGGGGGAATGGGAATTGAGGACACCATTCTTAGACTCAATCACCAAATCCCATTTTCTTCACAACTTCTACTTTCAAAATGATTTCCCTCTACTTTTAACATTCTTCTTTGGCACTTAGTCAAATGTCGCTCTTGTTCCTTATATTCAGCACAATCTAGGAATCGCCTAGATAATCTTTACTTATATCACCATTTGTGTTCCCATTTTCTTCACAACTTCTACTTTCAAATTGATTTCCCTCTACTTTTAACATTCTTCTTTGGCACTTAGTCAAATGCTGCTCTTGTTCCTTATATTCAGCACAATCTAGGAATCGCCTAGATGATCTTTACTTTTATATCACCATTTATGTTTTAGAATTTGGTAGGAGTGTTTTCTCGAATGGTGAGTATGGGAGCCCTATCTCTTGCTATACTGGTGTGTTTTCTTCTTTTTTATTGGATAATAGGGCCATGTTTACCGTTTGCTATATTTGTAGCTCAAATTTAGTTCTGTGCTATCTTGGTCTGTGTTGGCTCCAACTTCTGCTGCTCATTTATCGGTGCTTGATATAGGTTTGCATGGAATCCAATTGGGAAACTAAATTTCAGTTTTATGTTGTTTTTACTCAAGCGTACAATGCTTCCTATGGAATTCTTTTCGTGTAGACATTCCAGTTTTTACTGTTGGTGCTGATATTTTGTTGTATCTTGTATCTAATCTTTGACTGGCGACTTCTGTAGGTTTTATGTTGCTGAAGTTCTTCTTGCTTTGGAGTACTTGCACATGCTTGGTGTTGTCTACCGAGATCTGAAACCAGAGAACATCCTTGTTCGAGAAGATGGCCATATTATGCTCACTGACTTTGACCTCTCGCTGAGGTGCACTGTAAGTCCAACCCTCCTGAAATCTTCAGCTGATTCGGAGCCTGTAAAGATGTCTGGTCAATGTACAGAGTCTAGCTGCATAGAGCCACTTTGCATTGAACCATCCTGTCAAGTCCCATGCTTCAGTCCTAGGTTTCTACCTGCTGCTGCAAAAGCAAGGAAGCTAAAAGCTGAAGTTGCTGCCCAGGTCAGATCCTTGCCACAGCTTGTGGCTGAGCCTACTGATGCACGCTCAAATTCCTTTGTTGGGACCCATGAATACTTGGCCCCTGAGATAATCAAAGGAGAGGGTCATGGAGCTGCAGTTGATTGGTGGACTTTTGGTGTTTTTCTTTATGAGCTTCTGTATGGTATAACACCTTTTAAGGGTTCTGGAAATGAAGAAACGTTAGCTAATGTGGTGTCAGAGAGCCTGAAGTTCCCTGATAGCCCACTTGTTAGTTTTCAGGCAAGAGATCTTATCAGCGGATTGCTAGTCAAAGAGCCAGAGAATCGGTTGGGAACACAGAAAGGGGCTGCTGAGATCAAGCAACACCCTTTCTTTGAGGGCTTGAATTGGGCACTTATACGTTGTGCCATTCCTCCTGAGGTACCAGATTTGTATGATTTTGGAGTTTCAGAACATGAAAAGGATACCCAGTATTTGGAGTGTGAAGCTACAGGAGAGCACCTTGAGTTTGAGTTGTTCTAAACGTGCCCTCTGCTTCCCTCTTGTAGCTTGTATCTATAACTACAAAAATGTAAATTCGGGAGAATATTGTGGTAGAGAATGTCTTTTATGGCATGAAACGTTAATTTGATGGCTGAGCTGAGTAAACCAAACAGAGAAATTATTACATGAACTCGGGCAAGTACTTAACATTATGGACCAAATCAACGCCACAAAATCAAATTAGTAAATTATTACACGAAACGAGACGGAGAGAGAGAAATAAATCAACTATTCATTCTACTTTCCTAATGAATTTGTGTAACTGCCTTGTATTTGTTGCTTTGCTTTTTAAGCAAGTGAAATTCAAAAAATAAAATGATGCTTTCTTAATTGCTAATATATGTATGCTACTGCGTACTGGTACCCCTATGCAAAGAACTTAAAAGCACTGGTTTGGCACACAGGATATGATAGGCGAGACAGAACGAGAACGAGAGATGATTTTTGAAATGTTTTATGTCGAGATTTATGTCTCGTCCCATAGGACGAATTTTTCTATATGAAATTAAAATAACGTGATTTTGTTTTGAAATTAAAATAAAATAATTATTTTGAAGATAAATAAAATAAAAAAATTATTAAAATTTTTTTCTTCAAAATAGATAAAATAAAATAATTTAAATCATACATTTTATATTAATCAAATTTATTATAACATTAGAAAAATTAAAATATACAACAATTGTCCAAAATATGTCAAGGTGTTGATTTTTTTTTTAGTGACCGAATAATGTTTTTAGCACGAAAAGTGACGCATAAAATGAAATTGCAAGAAATAATATTGTTCCATATGAAGCCTGTTAATAATTATCATTAGCATTAAGGATATAATTATAGTCAAATTAATATAAAAAAAATATGAAAGGTAAAAACGGCAATCAGTCAATGTATTCAAAAATAAAATTTCCAAAGGGGAATGTAGGAGGTAAAGGAGTCACATGGGAGGAGGTAAAGGAGTCACATGGGAATATGAGATGTCTCAAAATATTAGATTCCTGATTTAACATATAAAACACAAAATTATTATGCTTGGCATCTCAACTATTTTCTTTCTTGATATCTTAAAATATTTTCATGCCAAACCCTTCTGCTTTTTTTAATTTTTTTTTATCTCAAGGCTTATTTCATCCCATGCTTCGACCGTTTTGCTCCTCGTTGCTGATGTTTCTTTTTTTACATAATAAAAAAAAACTTCAACCTAATAAAAAAATTGAAAGTGACTCGTGTTCAACAAAGGTTCTTCATCTTGATCTTCCTTGGTGCGGTTCTCTTTAAAATCATAACTAGTTTCAAGAACATTATTCTTCCTCGAACTGACAGTGTATTGTAACCATAATTTTTATGACAGTAAAAAATAATTAATATCAAAACACTAATTAATTCCATTAACAACAAACATAAAATCAATAATAATTAAAGTCACTAATTAATTTCCATCCAAAACCCAAAACAATGCAGAAATTCTCTCAAGCAAACTAAATTGAATATATATATTGTAACCATAATTTTTATGGCAATAAAACATATTCAATATCAAAAAATTAATGAATTCCGGTAATAGCAAACTTAAAAACATAGACAAAATTATTGGTCTCGGGTGTTGTGCTTGGGTGATGATGCTTTACTTATGCTTTGGCCTTGCTCTAATGGGTTTTAGCGTTGCGCACGAGAAGTTGCTTACTCTTGACTACAGGAACAAAGAAAAGAAAATGTTCTTGCCTATATAAATTTAAAACCACTAATTAATTCATGCTCAAAACCCAATAAAAATGCTTACTTTCTCTAAAACCAATAAAATCCAATTAAATTTAAAACCAATAATTGATAAAGAACCTAACCGAATTCTTGAACAAAGACAATCATACTTCATGATTTGTTCATGCCCAAGGGCCAAGAATTTAATATCAAAATAGTAATATGAATCAGTGATACTGTCTTTGTCACAAAAACAGTCTCTTTTAATTTTTTTTTCACAATTTTACAAAATTATTAGTTATTATGTCATATCAGTATTTTTTATTTATATTTTTTTAATATATTTTTTTTGTTAAAATTATTAGTTATCAAATTTAATATTATATTATATGGAACCAACATTAATTTAACGAGAAAATCTATCCAAAATTAAGGTGATAAATAAAAGAAAAAATTATTAAGTTAATTAACAATCAATTATAAAAAATAATGGACTAATGAAAATATTTTACTTTTAAAATTTCGACATGCAATAAATTCTCTACAAGAATGAATATTTTTCATCTAATTAAAAATTTTCTTTTAAAATTTTAATGTTAAAAGTATTTGTATGTATAAGAAAAATATTTTTTTTGTTAGTGAATAACAAAAAAAGAAGAAGAAAGAATTGATTTTTCTTAGTGAATAACAGAAAATAGAAGACTGAATATTTTTCATCTAACTAATACAAATATTTTACTCTCAAAATGCAGTAAAATCTCTACAAAAAAGAATATTTCCATCTAACAAAAAAAATTATGTTAAAAGTATTCATCTATATAAGAAAAAATATAAAAAATATTGATTTTTTGTTTGTGAATAATAGTAAATAAATGAAAGAATTGATTTTCTCTAACAATTAGGGATATTTTAAAAAATATATTATTTAAAATTTTGATTAGACAAGTATTTTGTAACAGATAAAAAAAAAGAAAAAAAAAGACAATTTCTTTGGGATATAGAGAGTATTATTTTTATATTCTCTTAAAAATAAAAGATATCTAGTTAATTAATGCCTACTACTCTAATCAATAGCCTCCAACCTCCAACCATAAGAAAAGCTATTAATGCAAACATAAGCTTTTAATATAAAAAATAATAATTAATTATACTAATAGCCAAGGTAAACCATTAATTGAAACTAACAATTAATTCAAAAAAAAAAAAAAAAGGCCAATGAAATAAATCCCCCTTCCTTGAATAATTGATATTATTTGCATCGAGCGTAGCCTCCAATGATAAAAAATAAATACGTTGAGTTGTAAAGGTAGATAATTAAAAAGATATAATATCAGAGTAATATTTAATCATACTGACAGCCAACATAAAAATATTAATTAAAACCAACAATTAATTCAAACAAAACAAAACGGAAAAGGCCAACAAAATAGATCCTCCCAACCAATAATAAAATATTATCAGAGTTTACACATATTTTCAATAATTATTAATATATTAAAAATTTAAAAAGCTTCCAATCGAAACACACATTGTATTTTCTCGGGCAAATTAGTATCAGAGGGAGGGGGTAGAAGAATGTGAAGGAGTGACATTAGGCAATGGAAAGGGGGAAAACAAAAAGCATAAGAACACAATTATAATTGCTCTAAAATAACTTTGGAAAGGAAAAAACAAGAGCAGGAATGCGGGCATTTTTTAATGGAGAGACAATAGGAAGAAAAGGATATGGTAGGTCGGCCTTCGCCCTTACAGTAATTGCAATTTTAAAGGTATTATTTTTCTTCTTCTGTCTCGCTCGTCTGTTTCCCTGTGTCTCTTGCCTATTATGAGAAAATTTAAACATCTTTCGTCACTTTTCGTCAAAGCTACAATTTATCCAACCTTTAATTTTTTCTGTTTAAGTATCAAATCTTTTTCTAATCAGCAATCGAATCCATTTTTTTCGTTGATTGATCTTTGACACAGTTTTTGCACATAAGAGTTTGATGAGAATGAAATGAAAAACTCAAACTCAAATTAACTACTCAAAACCCTTTTTTTCCTCTTCATCTCATCTCCCTCCACCATTATTTCTCTCTTTTTTTTTTTTTTCCTTCTCTTTCCTTTCTCCTCTATTTTCCTTTCTCTTCTCTTTCCCGTAAATTTGTCTTCTTTTTTTCTTTCTTTTCTCTACCTTTTTTCCTTCTCTTTTCTTTTTCCTTCATTATTTCTCTTTCTTTGAGAAATTGGACGACAACAAAAGACGGCTTATCTTTCTTTTTTCAAAGAGAATTTGTAACGCCCATCAACCGAGACACCTCACTTGAAGGGTCACGATCGAACGAATCAATACTAAAACCTATATCTTTTTATTTTTCTTAAAACTAAGTTTCTAATTTAATCTTATTTGCTTTTAAATATGTCAATTTAAAATATATCATTAATAATATATAATCATAAGATTTTCTCATTAACATAATAGCTTTATTTAAGTAAAAATTTTCTAAAATTTTATCATTTTCAAAAACATCTCTCACCATAATTAACATTCATAAATAATCTTATCCCAATATTCATACTTAAATTCTAAGTAAAAATTCTCAATATTCATAAGTTTAATGTCCTCACATTTATTATTTTAAAAATAAAGCTTTATTTAAGGCATGACCTAATTTAAGAGACACAAAAAGACAAACACATGAGTCACTAGTCACCGGGAGTAGCATCAACATCCTCAACATTTGCATCATTACCTATATCACAAAACGGATGTGAGATACAAATATCTTAATAATTATAATATGTATGATTTTACATTAAAACTTTTTGTACATAAATCTCTTCAAAATCATTTTCCTCATTTTGGTCCGCTAGAAGATATTGACACTAATTAGAAGAGTCCAGACCTCAATAAAGAACCCGCATAAAAACATTAATCTCAATATTTAACAATCAAACCTCAACTTTAAACCTCAACATTTATGCCTCAATAGGCAACTTCAACATTTAAACCTTAACATGCATTTAAAAATGACCTTATTCGTTTAATTAAAACATTTTTTTTTCAATCTACATGACCATCCCATCATATCAATCATATAAAAACACATAGCATTTACGTCCATGGTGTAGGTGAATTGCACTTACTTGATTCGTTTAATACCACTCGTTTATTGTAACCTTTCTCTAAAAATCAATACCTCGACTTAATTCAATACCTTGAACATACACACCATATAACATAAGAAATTAAATTTTTTTATTTTATCTATAATCATTTAATTTTATTAATTTCTATTCTTTTC